CTATGTTTCTCTCGTAAATTGTTTCTAAAGTATGTCAATGCAGCTTCCAATTGCAAATATATTGATTTGCAATTCACGATAAGTTGATTAACCGATACTTTACAAAAGATCCTTGTGATAAATTTACCCGCACGAGTCCGTGAGGAAAAGATCTCGCTTCTCAGAACGTGCAGAAAGACAAGACACGAAGTGCACTCGAATGGATTTCGGTAGACTTTAAGTCCTTCGAAAGACTATAAATCGTTCGCTCTCTCGATGTCCTTGCTCGAATCGCTTTCCCGGTTCTCCTCTCTCTTTCTTTCGATAATAAATCCATGTCTCTCGACTTCGAGCTTCTCTTATATTTCTTCTCTCTTTTTCAGATCGCGGTTAACGTGTTGCCGGGCCTGAGAAGAACGTCAAGACAACGACGACAACGGAGGAAGCAATTCGGTGGAGGAAGGCGTGAGAGGGGCTTCTCGATCGACTTTATATCGATGGAGCCGTCCTGATGCAGACCGCGGAACTACGCGGGAATCACCCGGCCTGGTCGTCGGACTAATTCTACCGGCAGGCCCTAGCTATTTCACAGAGCAGCGAGCTGTCTCATCCCCGTCGACGGCAACAGACCCAGCCACTTCCACTTCCTCCACCCCACGTGGCCGCACCATCACCTGATAAGGTAAGTCTTTATCGAAGCTGCATTCTCATAGATTTCTGGGATAAATGTTCATACGTGTAACACACACCAATTAAAAACTGGAGGATTTGCTCCGAGATAATAATTAATCCAATTTATATGTTTCTTATTTCGAAATATCGTCGATTACATTTTTTGACATTATCCCAAATTAAAAAACAATATATTGTATAATTCATATTTATATCTTCTTATTAAGAATCTAATTGTAAATATTATGCTCGTTAATGTAAATAGTTGTTCCTAAATTAAATAGTGGATAAATTTATAATAGTGGATCGGATCACTCAAAGAAACGAGAACTTCTTTTAAAAGTTTTATAATTTCTGTATATATCATAAGTCAATCTATATATCTTGAATTCTGGAACGTTTGTCACATAAGATCGATTCCGATAGCAGAAGAAATGCAAACATTAGAAAAATACAACAAATTGTCGGTAAAAATATACATGTTATAGATTGTTTTATTTATTTTATTCACGAATTTCTCAATACTATACGATATGTGGAATTGCAGAGGGATAGACATTATCTCGTTAAATTCAAAGTGATTGATTCACAAACAAGATACCATCGTTGTACGTTGCAATTATGCAGGAGCCATTTATGTTCATGATCCGATATGTTGATTAATCTCTTCATCGAGTTATCGTGCTATTATCTGATAAGGTTCGCCAATTGACTACGAGCACGCCGGGGCATGCCAGAGTTTAACCGGCCACTCTGTCCACACTCGGTAGGTGTTTGCACGGTGGTTGAAGATCTTTAGCAGACTGTTTGCTCGAAGACGTTGATGGACGAGCTTATGCATACAAAAGTCCATCCCGTGCGATTCGTTATATGATAAATAGCCTTCATAAGAACAATACACGCAAAAACAAGAACACTGTATCGCGATATCGGCAATTACTCCATTTAAGATGTATGCATACCGCAAACATTGTACGAGAAATTACATCCCGGTGGATTAGAAACGTTACGGTAGAGAGCCGTCCTACTTATCTTGGTAAGCTCTGCGTAAGGCGGTCATAAATTCCGCCCGAAGTAATTACGGGATATTTGCGAGACGCACTTGTAAAGGGTTTCCATTGAATAGTTTCGACTCTCTTGGTCTGAAAGAGAGGAATAGGAATGAAGCTCGATGTCGAAATGAAGCATTACTTCTGGATATTCTGTATTCAAATTTTCTGAACTAAGATCTCTTTTGACTTATAACATTACATCCGTTTACATTATGCGCATTGCATTCGTTATTATAGAACTTTCAATGAGACATGACTATGTAGCTTGATATTTTACGTGATGAAATCCTTTTTCTCATTTTGGCCGCCGGTATACTGGTAAATTAGCCGCATGGATATTAGATTCCGCTTACATTCGTGTTTAAACTATAAACGAGATATCGACGAATGTGAAATTTTGTCCTGAACCTTCTATCTCGTGCGTTATATATCCCAGCTCGCGTTTCAATTTTGCCGAAGGCATGATGCTTATAACGAAACGAAAGTACAATTTGTTGTGGATTAAATTTTTTTTATATCATTTTTTCAAATAACGCGAAAGCCAAGTAATTCGAAAAAATATTTTTCACACTACATCACGAGAATACAAAAACTATGCGGCAGCCCGAAATAGTTTTCAAGTTTAACAAAGTATGCGTGGGTGATGATCGTTGCAGATACTATAAAAATAACTATCAGTAACGAGGAAGGAGAAGAAAGAAAAAGAATATATAACGCGTTCTTCTATATTATTCTGCTGCTGGAGGCAAGTACGACGAAGCTCGCAATATTCGAGATACCTCGAATTATTTCATGGCATCTTATGAATGTCGCTACGAATGAATGCACTCGCAATAATTTTGCGCCATCTCATAATAAGCACACACCATGTCGGTACTCGATTCTAACGAGACGCAGCGTTCTTAATCGGTTCTAAGGAAACTAGGTCAGATTTAAAAATTGCCGGCGATTTCACGCATATGTTTCATACTTAACTTTACAATATTCTACACGAAAAAGACGATTTTGCGCGCGCAGAAGTATTTAAAAAATTGAGCTAAATACAAATCTATTAAAAAAGTTTAGAAAATGTGGAACTGCAAATGCATTATTATTAGTAAATATTCAATTGTTCTCTCAAATAAGAAAGTGATATTTAATTAAATAATATATTTTTTCATTGAAAATGAAATATTCAGTTTGTACGGAAAAATGATTTTGATGAAGTATTTAAAAATTTACAATTAGCTAATTTTACAAATCTGAAAATAATTTTGTTTAACTATCAAAATAACTAAATAAGAGAAATGGCAATTACAGTCAAAGTTAGATGTAATTTGGAATAACATATCTATATGTATTAAAATAATTTTACTTCAGATATAAAAATAATTAAAACACTAAAACTGATTGCTAGAATAAAAAAACTTGCTGTAGCATTGTTTATCATACTTGAATTTCCTAATTATTTTGGTGGTCCAACAAAATTATTTTTAGATCTGTATAGTCTAATTAAATTTGTAAATACTTCATCAAAAAATACTTCACCAAAAAAATCATCCTTTCCATCTATAAACTAAATGTTTCATCTTTGGAAAAGATATATTTATCATTTATGTCAAGTATCACTTCTTTTTTTAAGAAAATAATTCAATATTTACTAATAATACATTTACAATTCCATTTTCTAAACTTCAACTATGCAAACGTATAATATTTTTTTGGTTTATATTTTATAGTCCCTAGTGCTTCGTACCGGATGTCGAAATACAAAATACCGTGAACTGTGTTTTTACTTCAGCATCAATGATACCCGCAGCGCGGAATTATTCATCGAAGACCTAAAAGACACTTTTATTCGACGGTCGCGTTGAATTTCGTGCATCACTCGCACTGGCAAAAAAACCATCATCGAGCTGACCTTTTCACGCGGCAAATGTTAAACGATCGGCAAAAATTGCACTGTATTTCTTTCGCAAACTGGCACGCTGGAAACGTCAATTGCTAGCGACGCGGTCTTTAAACGAACGGTCACAAAATATAAATTGAGTGAAATACATATCATTAATCATCTGTAAACTTCATTTCGGATTTGCACATATTTAATTTATAATTCGGGCGATTTAATAAATATTGTGCCAATATCGAAATCAAATGTAATTGAATATGAAGATTATAATGGTTCATTAGGCGCGACCTGATTGCAACGCGTGTATAAATTTTGATATAATCCTATTGAAAATAATTACGTCATTATAAATAAACAAAGGAAGAGAAAACGAATATTTTTTGTCAAATATACTGTATGTATTTTTGTAATTGTCAAAGTAAAAAATTAATAAATTAATTTTTGCACTCAAAACTGTAAAACATTTATCTGACGTATATATAAGTACGCTATCGGTTTTTCCACAATATTTATTAATTAAAAATTAAATACTCAATAAACAATGCATTTTGCATTTGTCGACAATTACCTTGCAACCGAAAATTATCTATATCAAGATTTAAACAAAATTATCTATATCAAGATTATTTATTACGATACGACATATCATACAACACTTTTGAAAAATATACATAATAATATGCAGTTATCGTAATATTTCGTGCACAAAATTGCGATATCATTTTAATAAAAGAAGCTAACACAAATGTTTTAGTTTTTATCTTTTGTTTTTCATCATCTGCTTTTGTATTAAATTTTAATATAATATAATATAATTTCTTATATTTTTATTTTCCTTGCGTAATAATCTTCGCTATTAGTAAATATTGAAATTCAATTTATGCAATCCTTTCATGATATGTCATATTAAAGCATCGGTTACAGGAATTTCTTCTTGATTAAACTTTAGATTGCATAAGCTACATTTATACATTGCATGAAATATAAAAAATGCTATATATTAAACATAAATAAACACATATAAATATGAATTATATACATATATATAATATATAGTGCACGGATTTATATCTATAATGTACAGAACATAAAAAATAGTACATATCTTATATCAAAATGTCAAACTTTAAAAAACTTGAAAGTTTGTTAAACTTTAACAAACTTTAGAAGATTTTAAAGTCTATTATACTTTCAAAAACTTTAATTTTAATATTATCAAAATATGATAATACGCGTGTAACAAAATTGACTATAACAGAAAATAACATTCTATTCTTCGATAAAACTTCATTGTCACATTCCTCTCTTTTTCTCTTTATCTCTTTTCCTCCAAATCATACTATAGATATATTAAATGTATAATGACAATATAATGTAATGTAATGAATTTGATAAACATTTTCAGAGCTGGAGAAGCGGCCGCAGCCGCAGCCGCCTCGGAGCTCTGAGGAGCTGGAGGATCTGCATAAGCTGCTGCACTTCCCCGAGGAGGTGGCGCTCAGGTTGACGGAAAGCGAGTACCAGCTATTCTACCAGGTACCACCACACGAGTACCTAAGGCACGTGGCACAGGATCAAACCACGTTGCAGAAACCACCTGCCAGGCCACCCCCGTCGCCGAGTCGCAGCTGCAGCAACCCCAGCACCATCAACAGCTCGACCCAAACCGAGGACGAATCAGCCTGGCCTGTTGCCACGGTGTACTCTACCGTGCAGATCCTCATCGATCGTTTTAATGAGGTACATTAATTCTTCCTCCTGTATTTGCATTTTTTAAAGGCAGGCAGATGTCTTTTGATTATGATTATGAAATGCTACGGAGGGATTCTCTAGATTACTGTTTCTAATCAACAAAACGTTATTATTATTTTATGTAAATAAGAAGAAAAATAATTGTACCGAAGATGATAATAGACGTGAATCAATAATCGTAGAGGAAAAAGCTTCGCACTAAGAAACCTTCTCTCGGTCTTCAGTCCCGCGAAAACCCTCATCAGCCGCTTTTAATGAGGTATCCACTCCTCCAGCGGCTTTTCGTACGTTTTCGCCAGACACTTTCACCCACTTTACTCACACACACACACACACACATATATATGTACACACGTACGAATATCACCTGACCTCGCTTAGTCGTTTCCGCTACCCCTACTGTCATTTCCTACTCTAAATCTTCGCTCAAGGTTGGAAACCTTGGATTCTCTATCCCTCCGTTTTCCACGTTGTTCTCTTTATCATCGTGTTAAACAGAAGCCTCGGATAGCGTTGGAAAATTTTGGTCATTTCTTATGAATAACTGCAATGTTCCGCAATTATCTTACAATAGGATAACTTCCATTTTCATCCACTTCCACCTTTCATCTTTTCAATTAAATACAAAAAAGTCAATAATAAGATATATGCGCTCTATTAGGTTTATTAATTATTAATTATTAATTAAAGGTTTATTAATTATTAATTATGATTAAAATGATCGAAGTTTGGAATGTTACAATTAATATACTTTTTGTGTCATTTTTACGTCGCTAAATATATCACATCCACATTTGGCAAGTTCTCTTAATTTTAAACTTCCACTACTTTATTCATAACTAATAAACGTGATAAATCTCATATGTTTTAACTTTTTTGTATTAAATAAAAAAGATGAAATATGAGGAATAAAACGTTTTATAGGAATAAATACAATTACATTATAAATAAATTATAAGAATAATTCTATGTAGACTTCTCGGAAACATACATTGTGGCATTCAGTTCAATGACATCGAAATTCGCGTTCTAATTGTTATACGTAAAGAGCGTTGGCGATTTGCAAATGAAGTAATCATTAATCGTATTTGTTAATCAGGTAAGCTCATGGGCCACCCACGCGATCAGCAGCTGTGCCACGGTAGAAGAACGGCAGGCAGTGCTGTCCTGTCTTCTACGCGTCGCGCTAACCTGTTGGAATACCGGAAACTTTAATTCAGCTATGGAGATAATTGCCGGTCTGAAGTAAGTATCCATAATGTTTGTCGTAAACGCGAATGACAGTGCCAAATCTCCCTACTTAAAAGGTCAATCCTCGAATTGCTGCCTTCCACTTCTTATAAGCGCACTCGCTTTATTACTGTCCATAAGTCAAGTAACCCGTATTGTTTCGACTAAGTACGAAAGTCGTAATATAATTTCTTAGTCCTGCAAAATTACGAAAGCCCCATCCATCTTCATCCACCGTAAGCATCTAACCGCAGAGCAAAGTTGCTGTCGGCACCGATAGATCATTACGAAAGACAACCGCAGCACGTATCTCGTCGGTTTCGAGTTTCGATCGGATTAGAGACTTAGCTTCCGCCGTCGCTGCCACTGCCGCCTCTATGTACGAGTAACTATAATTTTGTATCATTACAATTATATAATCGGCTAATCTCACAGATTAACGAATTAGGATTACCAGAGAACTCAAACAAACTACATTTATTCGTTTACTGAATAAGCCAATTTGGTATTCTTAATTTGCACGTGTACTTTTTACACGATAACGTCAAGTCATCAGTCATTTTTGACAATAATATTTTATATATATATATACACATGTTATTTTATGAGAAAAAAATTTGTATTTTCAATCAATTTTAAACGAAAAAAATTAGAAATTTATACAAATCGCGAAAATAGTCTCTACATCCCAGTAGGGATTTGCAAATTGTATAATCCCCAACGAGATTGCGACACTAATCCGAACTCAAGGCTTCCTTGAAACTTTCCTCGTGTTTGTTGCATGACATTGCGACTTCCAAGGTCGTGCTTACACAATTAATCTTCATCTATTGGAATAAAGGACTCTTGAAATTATATTTCTCCACATTCAGACAATGGAGTCCGAGCTTTTACTCGAGTTTATTATTCCGAACATGAAAGGTACTTTTGAATATTTATACGTACATCGAACTTTGCTTCTACACTCAAAAAAGTGATCTTGGAGTTATAGCGAAAATTATCTAAGTATGAAAAATAGCTAAAATAAATAAATTTCTAGCAAGTACTGCGATATTGGATATGTATTGCACCTAATCATATAGATGACAGAGATAGAATTTGGATTTGTGCTATAAATTCTATGCGTATGATACATAATTTTCTATCAGATACAAAAAACAACTATAATTCTAGCTGGAGCAGCAAAATATTTTTTTGCGTGTATATAAACTATGAATAAAAACCTTAAAAAATAAAGAGTGTTTAACTTCGAAAGTATTTTTGATCGATCACAAATTATTAACTAAAAAAACTTTGTACTTAGTTTATCTTGTCGTGATGATCGTTGATCATTCATGCAAAGTCAGATAAAACCTATTAAAAGTGCATCCAGAGTGATTTAGCCTTGTAAATAAGAATTAAACATCCTTGCAGTAAAACGTCCTATTAGAACAATTATTTTTTGCATAAAACAAGATTAATAACACGCAAATGAATTCAAGAGAATCAGTATAAAATATTATAAATAGTATCTATAATATTCTAGAGAGTGCAATTTTATAATTAATTCAATCTTCCAACGAGGTCTAATCACAAAAGATACAAAGATTTAATATTTATTGTTGAATAATCTTCGATCTGTTATTAGAGAAGAAATGTTTCTTTGGTTGCTACTTGGGATACGAATCCGATGCAAAGAAATCCTCTTGTGTAATCGTATTAAGTACAATTTGATCCGATTCTCGGAGATATCGCGAAGTTTTTATCAATAAAACTTTGAGACTTAACATCATATTCAATTACGTGACAGTTAACTCGTCTTCGATTCCTTTACTTACGTTAAAAAAATAAAACACTTGTCTTAACGTATATTTTGATAAACTTGAAATCAATCAAATTAATTAAACAAATTATATTAAAACACGATCAGATTCAAAATGAAATTTTCTTTAATATAGAGATTTTTTTTGAAACATATTTTTAAAGATCGCATTGCGATGAGAATATCCGGCTCAAATTCTTTTACATTTTTCTATAACTTAATTAATTAATCATACATTAGTCTTATAAATTTATACTTAATTGATTTTATACTCCCCACCTCATCGCAATGCGATCTTTAAAAATATGTTTCAAAAAAAATCTCTATATTAAAGAAAATTTCATTTTGAATCTGATCGTGTTTTAATATAATTTGTTTAATTAATTTGATTGATTTCAAGTTTATCAAAATATACGTTAAGACAAGTGTTTTATTTTCTTAACGTAAGTAAAGGAATCGTAGACGAGTTAACTGTCACATAATCGAATATGTTAAGTTTCAAAGTTTTATCGATAAAAACTTCGCGATATCTCCGAGAATCGGATCAAATTGTACTTAATACGATTACACAAGAGGATTTCTTTGCATCGGATTCGTATCCCAAGTAGCAACCAAAGAAACATTTCTTCTCTAATAACAGATCGAAGACTATTCAACAATAAATATCAGGTCTTTGTATCTTCTGTGATTGGACAAGATTCAATTTTGACAATAGAGATTTAAATCTTTGGAAAATAATACTTTCCAAACATAAAAAGATCTTTGACATTTTCGCGGTCGCATATCTGGAATTTGCGACGAGCGAAAGATCAAAGATGCTTTGTCCACTTGTCAAGCTTCCAAACGATCGTGACAGTCAAGATTCAATACAATAGATTTTCCGTGAAGATGTTTCCATCTCAAAAGAAGAATGGTTATTAGGATCGAGTAAATGTCCTTCAAACGATCTATGCGAATTTGACTTGAAGAGAGAACTGAAACACTAATTGCTCTCTCTGAATATTGTCTTTGTTAGATTTCGATCGCGTTATCTTTTTTTCGATATCAAGTGCATCGTTAAAATTAAGTATCATATGTATTACCTTAATTATCATATTTTATTAATAATCCAATATATAAAAATATACCAATTTTGAATTTGATTTCTCGTGTTGCTTCAATTTATTTAATTTTGACTGATAATGTTGTCACTTCCTCCCCAAAATAACATTACTATACCTAACTCATGTACATAAATCTTTAAATTTGAACAAAAAATAATCATGTAATTTCTTTACGTATTTCTGCTAAATATGTTGCAAGAATACTTTCAAATGGGAAATCGGAAAACGCTCGCCCGTTGATTGAAATACTTATACTAGATTCCCTCTACTATGGCTGAGGCATAAACGTTATGCGCGGTAACGACCTGCTTCCGGGCGTGTTTCTGCTTCTTCGTCTTGTTGTCTCATGCATCGTATGTTTTATCTTGAAATAAACAGCCCAGTGCATTACCATGAAACTACAAAACAAGAAACACGTACGCTATTTGCTAATTATAAAAGGAGTCGGCAATACGTGTGTAAATTGATTATGTTAATTACGTACACGATTGTTACTAATAAATTGTAGATATTTAATGAGAATTACTATTGTTTATATTTTAAAAAATGATTGTTTTAATGTCAGAATTTTCAATTATAAACTTTTAAAGAATTTTAACAAGTTAAAAAATGAGAGATTCATATTATTAAATTTTATTTCTTATTATTGTATTCTTAAATTCGAAGGGGTAACCACTTAATGTAATCGTGGGAGTCCTTAAAATTATTATAAAATTTATATGAAATCTCTATGTATGTATAATCCGATAATTACATATGCAACCATGAGAAATCATTATATAATATTAAATAAAATCGTATATTTTATCAAATTACTTCATATGTAATGAAAAAAATTATTTGTAATCAGATGAAATCATATGAAATCATGTAATATGTGGAACAATATTTCAGCTGGTTATCTCTTCGCTTAAACCTAACAATAAGTAAACTTCAGAATGCCAAAATAATTTAAAATAAGATGAGAATATTGGGTATTTTAATTCACCAACCCAAAATGGCAATAAATCGTAAAATTATCAGACAAATCAAGATCCTAAACTCGTCAAAAAATATGCCATAAAAAAATAGAATGCATTATTCACAGAATTGGACAAAAAATACAAATGCAACAATCACTTCATATCGAATGACTAATTAATTAAATTTTTCTCTAAAAAGAGAATTCCAATTTTTTCTTTTGAAAAATTCAGACAAGCCTAATGTATATTAAACACAGAGATATGTCTTGTTGTAGGATCCCTATCGCGTGTCTTATTACAAGACGGAGTGGCTTCCGTGATAGTTTGCTTTATTAAGAGCTTCTCGTGAAAGTTTTATCGAGTGCCACGACACGTAGCTCATTCTGCGAATGTCTCTCGGCTCGATGCTCTACCCATTTCCCGAAACGATTCACAATGGCGTAATCGCATTATTTCACGAGTTCTTTCGGGACTGTGACCTCTTTTAACTCGATCCCTCGCGAGGAAGTGGGATAATCTCCCGTTGAAAAGTAATTCGAGTAATGAATGTGTGTCATTAATTTCCACAGAGATCAAGGAGTACGACGGCGATTCGCGCGTTATTCGCCCGTAAAATCGTTTTCTTTCCTGTTTGATAATTAATTCTCTCCCGACACGAGAGAAACTCAAAAAAGAAAAATATAAAGCGCGACATTCACACGATGGACTTTTAATGTAGCAAGAAACAATTCGCAACATTTTTATATCGCGGCTGTGAAAGAAATTGACAACGTGGAAAATTTGATTTTTAACTGCCGTATATATACCATTTGCTGAAATCAAAGTGATATGATTTTTTTATCGAAATTTTGCCCGTAAATTTGTTTACGAATGAAATAACACTCGTTTGCATTTCAGTTCTTTTTACATCTTTGCTGCAATATACGGTATGAAAACACTCTATTGGCTACTTATCCACTTGCAAAAAGCTGACGCTGATTGACTTAATATTGTTGTTTGTGTCTCGAGGAAAAAAAATAAAAAGAAAAGATTTCCACATGAAGTACGGGCTCTTTGTAATCCACCAGGCGTCTAAAAAGGAGAATACTTTATTAAAGGATTTCTTGCCAACTTGAAAACTACGCTGAAAATCTCTACTTGGAAGTCCTGATCGATGTTCCGTGCACATTTAAATAGGGAAGAACGTCTCTGAGAATATCTCAGAAACTTATTCTCATAGAGGGGAGGAAATATGAAGTAGAAAAGGATCGAACTTCACTTCCGCTTGAAAAGTTCAAGATTGACTTCCCCCTTTCTACCTCTACCGTTGACTTCCGCGTCTCTGCTATCATTGAAAAAATTATTAATCGATCTTTTATATTGCGGTATTATTACTGTTCCGCGTCTTCCCTATCATTGAAAAAATTATAAATCGATCTTTGTACTGCGGTATTACTGGCAACGCATAGTGCAAATAAAATACATTATGTATTCAAATCAGTAGTGACCAACTCTAATAAAAAAGCCATAAGTACTCTCTAAAAGTGAATTAATGTATTATTACTGATATTAGTTATAACATTATTACATTAGTTATAAGTGTAGTACTGAAGTCATCAGCGAATATTTAGGGGAGAGTTGCCGAATGCGTACTGGTCGCCTAAATCGTACCTTATCAATATTTTATATTATTAGTTAATATAGGCAATATTTAGTAACAATAATACAAAATGTATGAGAAATGAGTAACATAGATAAAAATATAACAGCCTACATCTTATTTTATGGATATTAGCGGCGTTTTAAAAAATCAGGTACATCTGATATTAATATTTAATCAACTTATGTAGCTGATAACAACACGATCATCCAATTTTATTATAAATTTTTGTATTTTTATAAAAGAAGATTTATTGTAGAGTATTTTACATTCACTGTATATACATATTTGCAACCATTGTAAAGATATTAAATCGATATTTTTACAAAATTCGTTAAGTTTCCTAAATCGTACCATCAAAAAATAAGGCTGATAACTGACAATAATAAAACTAATAATTGATATCAATATAAATATCAAGTGCAAAAATAAATATAAGAATTCAATACTTTCAAAGGAAATACGATAAAATATACCTATAGATATGATTTAGGCGACCGGTTGCCTAAATCGTACCTTTTGCAGCATGTTACAAAAAGATTTATAACAAATTAATTTATTATTGATGGAAAGTAAAACATGTAATAATAAGCGTCCAAAACCTCAAGCTACAATTTCTATGTTCATTTGCATATAAAACAGTGCCAAATGGAAAATATAGTAAAAAATAGATTAAGTGGTACGCATTCGGCAACTTTCCTATTGTTTTTCAGTAATAACACACTAATTAATTTTAGAGGTTATGATTTTCTGCAGATTCAATCTGTAGAAACCATAACTTCTCGAAATGAATCAGTATATTATTACTGAAAAACAATAAATATTCGCTGGTATTACAGTTATAAGTGTAGCACTGAAGTCAGTGATAATACACTGATTCACTTTTAAAAAGTATCGTCCGTTTGATCGATGACTCGGAAATAATGGAGGAAATCGTATCGGCGAACATAATATTGCTTATTTCTAGGAGAAATTTTCTGTTCATGTGTTTTCTGCTCTGCTAATCCGCCATTTGGTTATCGCTTTCGTCCTTCTCGCGGATAACGGCACTCGTCATTAACCGCCCATGCTCTTCTTTTTATGTTCCGCGAAACGAATGAATTTCGCTATAAGTGGCACAGCGGAGAACCTTTACCGTCTGTTCCCATCGGAAACCCCCAACGTAGAAATAAAATACTTTTTATTACCGAGACTGTAAAGTTAGACACCGTCCTCTTGTGCTCGTCCCGCGAATGAGAGGATAAAAGTTTCGTGCGGGAATATCGTTTCTAGAACGACCGTTGGGGTTGCGTCTGCTGACTGTCGCACACACTCGGAAACATTCTCAGCTAAAGCATTCGGGGCTAACTGGCTGCACTATGGAGAATACTGAAAGAGGTAGATAATTAATGCTGTAATGGTAAACGTTTCATGATTTTAACGACCATTAAAACACGAAACAGAGGAAGCATGTTTGCCGGAAGTGTGAACACGGCTGTTTCATGCAGATATCGGCGACTATCAACTTAAATTTTAATCGTACAAATATAAACTGCATCTCGCTGCGCTCACGACGCTAAATTGGAATTATTTATCCAACTCTTTTTCTCGTATTTTTAAACCTTTCACACGTTAAAAGTAAGAAAATTTAAAAAATATTAAATTTCTGATTGCTAAACAATTTTTCTATTTAAGGAAAGAATAAATATATGTAACTTTAAGTCTAATTTTGAATTAAATAAATATTTTAGATTTTTTTTAGAACATTGTGTCTAATGTTCCATTTCTCAAAAAATTTAGATCTTAAAGGATTAAATGAACTTATAATATTAAATTAATTATGTTTCAAAGACAGAAATTTCATGTTTTATGTACTAAAATATCAAAACTTTTGTTCAAATCTCGCTTTCCAAATTAATTTAATATTTGAGTCCACGCCTTTAACATTAGCAGCTTCTGAAATTTACTTTAGTTAAAATTAAGCTTAATAATTCTGCATGTAAATCGCCATATAAAGTTAGTGTACACGGTTAAGATTAGTAGGAATTACAGAATGTTACTTCAGTTTAGATTATTACATTAAAGTATTAAATCCTCTTTAAGTACATAACACCTTTGATCTTTTGACTTACAGTGTATTCAATAAATTCTATTTACGTATTTCGTAATCGCTCAATTAACCTTTGGTACACGATTATTTTCCGGTCTTTTACTACATATGATGAATCGTTCGTATCCCTAATTAATTTCATCACTTTTTTATATAAAAATTATTAAGTGATTCTTACATTACTTTAACATTGTTAGAAAGTAGTTGTAAAGTGTGTTTCTAGTATTAAAAAAAAAAGAAATACGCGGGACACGAAAGACTCAATCATGTGTATTAGAAGTTAAAATAAAAATATATCTGAAATTATTAATTACTAAAAAGAGTACTATTAAAACATTATTAGTCATCAGAAGATTAGAATACTAAAATAGTGTTAACCTCTTAATACCCTAATCGCCGCGCATTGCTTGGGAGTGGAAGCGCGCATTAACTTGGAATGTGCGAATTTCTGTCGTCAGCGGTTTATCTCTTAATTACGTATATCCGAAAAAGCATGTCTACCCCGTCTAATCGCGAACGAATGTTGCTTACGTTGCAGGTCCAACAAGCTGAAGCCGATTTGGCAAGAACGAGGCATGAACGAGCGCATACCGGTCATGGAGTATCTCTCCTCCGCCCTTTTGTCTTCCGAATACGAACATGCGCTTGCTCGCGCTCTCGCGATGCCGGAATGCCCGGTGGTGCCATTCTTCGGGGCTTTCCTGCGCGAGCTGCGGGAAGTTATCGCGTGCGATATAAAGGTAAACATGAAAAGCGCCACTACTATCGCTCACGCGTGTTTTATGTAGACTTTGAATTTCTAAGAAAATGCTTGCATGTGTAGAATTGATTGTTTCACGTCGTTAAATAGAGGATAAATTGGCATTTCATTTATGTTTCACCATGTAAGCACTGTTAAATATTACACGTTAGCGCCTGCTTCTTCGCCTTCCCTCAACTCTACTCCGGAGTATTATCCCTGTCTACTATGAAGATCACTGTCAGCGTGAGATAAGAGCCAAAATATGTACGTGCGTCGAGCAGAAGACGTGTGTCGAGCAGGTTATTTAGATAGGATAATGTGACTTAACATTTCGTCAAGTAAGTCTATCTCTCTATCTTATGTTTAAGTGTGTGGAACACGATACAACGAGAGAAAAGCTAAGTCGGGGAGAAAGCCCATAAGTAATTGAACGCTTTCGCGTTTTGGCAAACGGCCAAAGAAGTTCATCGGTGATGATATCTAACATGTCTCTCTTGATCGCATCACGAAACAGGCTTGCCGAGAGTAATCGAGGGAACGAAGGACGGTCAGTGACACGGCAAATCTACTTCGTTCCTCCAACAACATCTGCATGTTCAAAAGATAGAGAGAAGTTTGGCGTTGCGGTGAATTTATTTAAACAAGGAAAACTTTAATAAGAAATTAGAGCAAATAAAAAACTTATAACAAGACTTAGAAATGCGCATCCAAGTTTACGAAAGTTTTACCCGAGAAGACTATCTTAAGATGATACTGAATACCGGAGTAAAAACGCATTAAATCAGGAAAATTAAATCTTCCAGGTACATTCTTAACATAGATTTATTCATGGAACATAATTGTTTGTCAACTTCACACAAACTGTTATAATCGACGTGAGAAATCGGATTAATCCTTGGGAATCATGGAAGAGGAACAGTTTGCGTTTCAAACAGTATTTAAACATTTCGAGCGCAAACGCCGGGAACTGCGCATCGAAGTTTTTCTATGAAGTTTCACGAAGAATAGCAGCGTAGCAGAAGAGTACCGAAGCGAAGTCTGCGCCGTAAAAGCGACAAGGAAAGGGGTTTCTATCGGCCTCCAGCAGCTACGATGGTTGTAGGCCGGCGGAAACTACTTGCTCTTGTCGCTAACGATCGTCATCGGGGAACAAAACAGCGTCTTCCTTGCTTTTTACAGCGTCACGTTATTTGATGTTTAAGAGCATGTTCGAAAGACCACAACGAAAATCAGTGCTTCTAAGAGCGGCTCTTGTGAAACTCAAATTGCACGACAAAATCCACAGAGTCGCCAGTCGTTAAAACCAAGCACGTGATCAGCAGCACGAATTTGTAATTTAGACTCTCGGTTTACGTGGAACAGCATCACGAAGTCGCAATGTGAAGCGTTTATTTCGAGAAAGAGAAACAAGAATGTGTATGTGTGCGTGAATGAACTTCGTAACATTTATTAAAAAACTCATTGTTATATAATTTCTGTTAGAATTCAAGATAGAAATCTGTTTATAATTTGATGTGCATATAATACGAAAAATATTTGATAAATTTAGAATAAGATATACATTAAAATAGGTACATATATGAAAATACATCATTTTGTGAATTCTGACGAGAATTATATGTTATTTGAAGAGACGGCTTGAATAAATACAATATTTATTTATGTAATTCTTAATTAATTATATTAATTAATAATTTCACTACGTACATTTAAGTTAAGTGATATACAACATTTTAATATTTATTTTATATTTAAGTTTTATCTACATTCGCGATCATCATGTTAGGTAAATAAAAGTGTAATCATATAGAATAAAAGCTATAATATAATATATGCTATAAAAAGATATTATCTACTTATTAATCTACTAATAACAAAATTGTCGGTTATATATTTTTCAAAATAAATGTATACATAAATATGTAACGTAAATTCGAAGAAATTTTTCATAATTGTGCATCTCGTTGATGGAAAACATACTAGAACATACAGTTTCTAGGACGTGAGATTAATCAGTGTGCGATATGATCATTCACATCCTGAGCGTTCATAATCTCCTGGGTGTCGATGGCTAATTACATTCAAATGAATTCGACATCGACTGACGTTACGGGAGCAAAGTAAATGATATGCTTTGCCTTGAGGTTATCGAAGACGCGGCTTAGTATAGGTATATTTCATTAACACTGTCCCTTTCTCTCACCCTTCTATCTCTGACTCTCTCTCTTTAGAAGATATAATCTGCCAAACCAAATGCATCCACGATGCGGATGTCGCGGCTTGCAAATGGAATTCCAAATCGGTATTGGCACGGGCACACGGGATGTGCCAGGCACTTAGCTTGCGATATGCGTCGTTCTGTTATCCCGAGTGTTGCTAGTCGTCCCCTCATCGGCACGTATTTCCTTTGGGGTACATTTCTGTGAAGGAGGAGGAGGAAGAGGAAGGATAATGAGATTAAACAATTGCGAAAGTCGCTTCGTTCATCCGGCATCAAGTCTGCCACGGATGGTTCCAAGCTTTAAACTCCGAAAGACCAAATATTACTGTCGCTCTCTATGTGTGTTGTCGTATTTCCTATGTCTACGTCATTACTTCTACACCGTTACTTCAAATTAGAACATTTTAATTAAATCTGAGAATTAATTAAAAGTATGAAAATATTTAGAATGTATATTAGAATGTATGTGCAAGTTAAATAACTGATAAATATAGAAGAGAAACAACTTTCATCCGTTTTTAAATATAAAGAATTAACCTGAATATACTTACTTTTAACTTCAAAAATTTTTTTTATAAAAAGATAACTTTTATAAATAATAACGTTCTATTTTAGAACAAGCAAAGACTAAATTAACATCTTTCTCCTTTAAAGTAAATCCTACTTAAAGTAAAATTTTTATGAGGTGTGCTTCCCAAGATATCTCCGACTCTTCTTTAACTGTTAATTTTCTCGTCTTGTTTGCTTTGCTCGTTTGCCGACAGTTCGTGTTTCGATTAAAAATGATATCGTATTCCATCATGTGATGTCACCGTCTTCACGAGAACGTTAAACTATGTATGTCTGAACACAATTTCTTTTTCACGAATAGCTCAATCAAGATACATCCAAATTTTTCTGTCAGCAGACATGTTCACGCATATTTCAGCACGTTTACAATTTGGATAGCACGACTTAGCGGCTTTAGGATGCTGCCTAACGGTGGATCGATCGGTGGGTAACACGGCGCGATAAAGTGAAACAGCGTTACCTTATGACGCTACGTCGTGGAACTATCGCTCAATATATATCCACGCGATAGATTAAGGTTATCGGATAACAGTTAATTATAAGCCGCATTAAAGTTCTTGCTACTAGCACACCTCTAGCTTACGGATAGACGAGCTTTCGAACGATTACTTATATATATAATTTGCATTAACGGAACTTAAGAACTTTGCTACAAAAACTAAAGACGTAATTTTAAAATATTGTTAATTCTAATATATATAAATAATATATTTTTATACGTACGTTTCTGATAGTAATTATAACCACAGTGCACAAGAAAATGCCATAAGCACAATTCGACTCATTTAATATATCTACTATTTGATTCATTATTTAAATTATTTCACATCCTTACACTTTGTAAAAACGTAAAAATGTACTGGCAAAGAAATTTCACGAGAAATTAAAACTGAGACCACGATTTTTCCATTTTCTCAGTGCTACCAGCCACTTGTATTTACGAGACTGCCGAGAGATTTACACTTGTGAGAGAGCTCTTTATATGTTACTAGTCATTAACAGACTTAAAGGGCCATCCAATGTTCCTGTTGATGAACACGCGAAAGTGTATTTCGAGGTTGCGTTTCGAGAGCAAGCCGTAAACTATTGATTCCCATTTCGCGCGAAAGCCAAGTTCCTCTTCGAGGAACAAAGGCAACTTCGTTACACGGATTATCAATTCTTGAAATGAGCATCTTGTCACAAACAATGTATTCTTTCGAGATGTCGTTACGCATGGAATGATGTAACATACACGAAATAACAGCTGACAGTTTTTCCTTTCTTCTGAATTTTCATAATCTATCAATAACGTTACGTTGGAAGTGGCACTAATTAATTTATACGCATTAGATACTCCGTATCATTTAAAATACGTTTTATTTATATTATTTGTCATATATTTTGTAATTTCATAAAATGTCTGTCTCGCATGCATGTCACGATAGCAAATCGCTTTAATAAGCGAATCAAATTATCATATTTCTTTTTTCATTCGTTTTTTGTTTGGTGTCTTTTTGTGTTTAGTTTTATAATTCAAATGGTGTATTTGTCAATGTTATGTTACATAAAATTAAAGGCTAATTCCATTATTGTCACTTTGAACAGAACGTTAAAATTTCAAGGAATTTCTATTTTTCCTAAACTTCTTTTGTTTTTATTCTCTCATTGTAGTAAAATTATATAATAAAATAAACAAAAATGTGTACCTTTTAAAATTGAATATTTAGAACAGAATAACAATCAGGAAGTTTCTAAAACTAAATATCCCTTACAATTAGAGAGTAGATAGAATAAAATGAATTGAAAAAATACCTGCTAAATTGGTGCTTTTTTAAATAATATTTATGTTTATACAAATTGTATGTATTCCTTTTTCATACTAATAAAAATAACGAATTATTTCTACAATAAAATGTTTAATTTATTTTATTTTGTCTGTGTTTATTATAAAATAACAGTTATTTAGCTTCAGCAATTTTCCGATTTTCGTATATCTCTAAAAAAGATATATTATGAAAATCGAAACCGTTTACTCTGAGTATGACGTATATCGCATTTTCATTATTACTTTATTTATTCTGAATTACATCGTATAGTTATTGAATCACAGCATGAATTAAGTAGATTGAAGCTTTTCCATGACACAATCCCTTGTATAATAAACTGCGATTCTTAAATAAAGAATATCGTTGACTCGGCATGTTTCAGCCCCAGCCCGAGTTCAAGGAAAATCGCGAATCACCACGTGTTAGCATTAAGGAGAGCGAACCTCAAGAACACGTGCCTTCCTCTGCGCCGGTCGCCAGGATCGCCGTCGAGAGTAACACAGAGACGCCGTCGGGATGGAGTTCAAGGAGCGGCTCTTTGAACAAACCGGAGAACCCCATCGCACCAGTCCACGATACAAATTCCGTTCTCGACAAAGTCGCGCTCTTTCACAAGGTAAGACACATATTCAACCAATGAGCATGAATCATGTAAAGATCGAGCAATCTTAATGAACACTCTCAACGTTAACTACATTTCACATAATATAAGCGAGGAAAGAAATAGATGTTTGAATCGATGAAACCAGTTTGTTTGCTTGAAATATTGTAAACCCGTTTTAAATAATCTTCGCGCCAGAATTAAATTTATAATTCTATACACTGTGTAATAAAAAAATATTTGAAAAATTTAAATCCACATGCATAAAATATATGTATGTTTAAATATACGACATATAAAATAGAATTCTATTCTGAAATCTGACGTGAGAGAATTATTGAATTTATAATTTTATATTATGCTATATAACAAGAAAAACATTTGAAAAATTTAAATGCACATGTATAACACACATGTATGTATATAAAAATATACGATATATGAAAGTATAATTAGAATTCTAGTCTAAACACAGTCTGACGTGAATTTTATTATATTTATATACACACACAGAAGAATCGTCGATATTTTTTTTAGAGATATTTCTTTTTTCCGATGTATCCTAAATATGTATCCTAAACAGTTTGATGGTTTAATTTAACAAAGAATAATTTTTTCTCAAGCATCGACATGCTCGTGGCAGAGACGCGACTACTGGTTCCCTTCATCGCACCCTGAGCGTTCACACGACCGCAATTGAGCAAACCTACATGGCGGAGGAATGCGACGAGAATGACTATCATCTTGATTTAGACTCCTACAAACCCGTGCAGCCGCTCAAGATCGACCACGGAGTCGCTTTGTTTCCCGTTGCCGCGCCACACACTGGCATGGATCTTCATCTTCTGCAGGTATGTTGCGCTACATTCTGTAGACAAATGTACGTCTCATACGGAAATGTAGATATTGTATCAAAATGAGAATCTTTCGCGCCGTCAATTTCACTCAACAATTATGATAATATAAACAACATTTTCACGAATCTGTATACATATTTGATATATATAAGCTGGTCCCATTATAATTTTTATTTTAAAAATAGATACGAACTTCAATACAATTTAAAAAGAATGACACAAGAAACATTTTCTCCAATAATCATTAAAAGTTTTTTTAAACTTCATCCGGTTGTTATCTGGCTCAAGTGTTATCCTATAAGAAAAAAAACGTTCTCAAAGTTCATAAAGTAAACGACAAATTTCTTTTTTGTCATACACCTACTGAAAAAGATAAAATTTAGAAATTCAAATTTTTGATGAAATTGAAGTAGTTATAAAAGATAATATTTGGTCACATGATCTGTTCAGAGTGCATGGAAAATGTCTGTGTTGAGACTTAATTAACATAATTAATAATATTGCGAAAGTTTACACAACGTAATTTCCGTTCTACAATAATAACGCACAACGTTCACTCTCTGTGTCGTATCCGGATTACTTTATTGCAGCACACATACATAGAGATAGAGGTAGAGAGGTAGACAAATATAAATAAAGGAAAAAAGGAAGAGAGAGAGAGAAAGATAAACACAGACATTTCTGAGATCGTCGCGATGTTTTGGGATTGAGAGACATTGCATCACATAACGAAACTGCCAATTGTATACGTGACATCGCGATGCTGCGCGTGGAGTGCATTGCAAATATTGGACTCACAGGATTTGTTTCACAATGCCATGCGACGCCATGAGGACGTTTTTGATCCTGACGCGCTGTTATAGACCACACACACACACAGACCGCACGCACGCACGCACACAGTGAGAGAGAAATTAGAGATGTGTGATTTTCCTCTATCCATGCCACATGGCAATAAATGTTAATCAATAATACTAGCAATTACAAATATATAAATGACACACGTTGCATTTAATTCACAATATACTCCGTCAAAGAATATTATTATCACATTACGAATGACAAAAGAATTATTGTACCGAAATAAGATGGAATATAGAAAAATATCTAATCGTAAACACATTTTTCTAACATTAATTTTAAGAGATATATTAAATTTAAAACTAATCACATTAAAGTTCTTTTCTCCATTACTTTCAGATAGACGTTGCTGTGTGTTGAAGTCCTCTAATTTTATAATTAACTTAGTTTTTTCTCTTTATACATATAAAAACACTTAATAAATAATTCGAAATATTTATTTTAAGGCAAAGTATTATAGAATGTAAATATTTTATGCAACGTCTTTTCAAACTGTCATTTTTCAGAGAAATGATGCAAAATAACCGAATATAATATATATGTATACATTTGTGGTGTTAAAAAAAATATTTACACTGTTAAACTCAATGTCAAATTATATCCAATTCGAGTATTTTTAATCATTTCTGTAAGTCGCCACTGTTTGTACTAAAAAAAAATATGTCGTTAATTTAACTAGAATAATGATTAATTTATATATAACTAAATAATTTAACTTAAGAAAATGTATTTTTTATTCAAATCTAGTTATCTCATTTACACTTAAATACATACGTTAATATAAACGTTGTTTATATTAAAACTAATCACAGAAATGGATGAATTTACATTTTGACACACATGAAATTCAAAAATAACAAAATGTTATTTAACTTAAAGGATTGGGTTACCATTGCTCTATAACACAGTGTAAAGTTTTAAATCTTTCTTGTCTCAATCAAAATGAGTAATGGTTTTCCTATTTCGTGTCGATAAGCTTCAATATGAGAATTTAATGTCTCCTAACAGAAGAAATAACATCCGAAGGTTCAAGTACCGCGAGGCAAAAGACGATACCATATTCAAGGAAATTCTTTCATCTCTCGAAAATAGGTGCGATTATTTAAATATAACGCTACAACATTTGTTATTCGTAATTATGGCTAACGAGAAATTCAACTAAATTTGTTTTAACATCTTTGTATATTGTAATTTTTAGCATCACATTTAAATGACGAAAGTCTAGAAATTCGAAAACTGTCATCGTTAAAAATAATTATCTTGGATGTGAAATATTATGTAAATGAAAGATATATGATATTTCATTTATAATAAATGAAGATTGTAGCTACGTATAAATCCTACGTACATTAATCGATACTGAGAGCCGAGATTTTTAAATAAGTAAAGATGATTTAAGATATGATTCAAACTCTCTCTTTCTCTCTCTCTCTCGCTCTCTCGCTCTCTCTGTTCGTGTATCGTAATGTTCAAATAAACACTAGCAAGAAATTTCTATTTTGCTAAGGAATTCCACAGCTACTTTGAAATTTAAGTGAATATTTTCGCATTTTTTATTATCATAGCCAAAGAAAGAGAAGAGAGATCTTTAAATCTGTAGTTTCTTGTTGAAACTACACGAATCTTTAAAGAAGTATAGGAAAGATATTCACAATACGCGTTTACTAGTTTCGCAATTTTTGATATTTAGCTATCAAGATATAAAAAGATAGAAAAATTTCATATTTGTATAATTTTTAAATGAAAAATTTTCATTAAGAAATATCGGGATTTGCACATTCATATCAAGTTAAGTATTTATTCGGACGATTTCGAGATATTAATGTCATGGCGACGTTTCCCCCATAGCGTTGCGCCTGAGATAAAAGATACCGTCAGCACGTAGCTTGCTACACGTCAAAAAGATTTCAAAGGGAACTAGCCTTACTTTCACATCTCCGGCAAGCTTTGCGGAAATTAGAGAGGAAACAGAGAAATATGCGAAAAGATTAAGAGGGGAGGGAAAAAAAGCTCTCTCTCTCTTTCTCTCTCTCTTCCCTCCCTCTCTATCTCTGTCTTTGTCGCTCTCTGCAGCAAACGAACCAAGGAGACTGATGGAAAAAACATTGTAACGCAGCACGTAAAACCGGGTCATCCTTTTGAATCGAGCCACCAATTGTCAGCGTTAATTGAGTGGCAAAGGAAAAAAATGGGACACGACGTATTTGTGGGAGAAATGGTTCATAACGAATAAAATTCGTTATCCTCCCATCATAAAATTCCGACACAATCGATATACCATGAATTTTTCTCTGCCACTACAGAACGTTCTCGGAGGATATATAACATGCGAGTCTATTGACTGTATATCAGTGAAAAATGGGTATTTCGGAAAAATTTTGGAAAAAGCTATACGACTTCTTCCAGCCCAATGCTTCTGCGAATAACGGTTTCTCATGAATATAATAGATTTGGAGGTTTTGGAACTAATAAATGTTCGGAGAATGCAAACATGTAGTCAAATATTTATGTATCGCACATTGTTATCATCAATAATACAAGCATGATAGTATTAACATTGCTAGTAATCCAAAAACTTTCGTCTATAAATTTTGAACTAAATCGATGTTTATCTTTATTTAAAATTTGATCTTTGAAATTTTTTACAATTTGGAATATTAAACATACTTCTTTCCTAATTATTTCTTCTATTATTAATTTAAATTTTATATTCTCCTATTAAACTAATATAAATGAATGTTAATTAAAAAATAATATTTTATAAATTCAAAATTTCTTCATTTTTGTTAACGAAAATTTGGCTTTAAATTTCTCTGCGAAAATAACTGAATACTTTTGAGGTATTCTTTATATTTAAAGAGTAGTCTCATCAATTTAAAAAATCGTAAAAATTAAATAACAGAAATTAAACTTGAAGTGTAGTGAAATTAGCACCTTTCTGACAAACCATCGTAAAAACTGCAGCTCTGTGACGTTAAAATGTGGTTGGTATTTAATGGAAAAGCATGCCGGACATATAAACGTGAGAAGTTTCAAAGATAATTCGAATGTGGCTACGAAAATAAAAATGGATGAGAACGCTAACATTTCGTAAATTAATTAAATTAATTAATTAAATTCCTACTCTTCGTTTGCTCACACTGATACCGGCAAATAATTGTAAACTAATTAAAAGTGAATTGAAATTATGTTTGTGTTTCGACATTTGCACATAATGAACTTCTATTTCTATTTTCTATTCGCAATGCGACAATGCGATAATTGTACATAAAATATAATCTACATATTTAGAAAATTAGACTCTCGCCAGTATTTCAATATTCGATATTCCGATGTATATATTTTTTCCTTATTCACTTTTAGACTGTACATTACGTGATGGAAAATTTTGAATTTGAGTAACTGCCTACGTTATCGATAAATAACTCTAGCCAAATGCACGAATTCGCGCATAAGCGAGCGTACGTGCAATAAATGTCCACCTGCACATCGAGCGTAGAAATGACCGCATAAACGCCGTTATAAGTCCATTACGAGCCCCATCAGTATTATAAATGCACTCACGCCGTCTAGTACTTTGTGGAATACTTCGTGTGACGCAGTTGCGAGGACCTCGTAGTAGCAAGTAGTGAATGTCTTACACGTGCATATGAAATTTATATTATTTGTATTAACACCAAATGCTTATTCTGTTTTCTTTTTAAACAATAACGTTGTCATAGTAATGCAGTAAAACAATAATCTAGATTATTACTGCATCTAAATACTGGTAGAACGTTTCGAGCAAAATCAAATGTAGACCATTCGTTACGTATTTACATTTCCCTTTATATTTTTGCATTTACGTTGTATTATTTCTATCAATTAGTGACAAAATATATAACTAAAAATATATGTAAAGCACAAAAGCTTTTACATATATGTACATTCATTAGCTAAAAGGTTGCAGCACTTTTTTCAACGGATTTCGAAACTCAGTCTTGTTTATAGACCGGTTAAACCGGTTAAAAATGGTTAGCGTCATAAGTAAGAATCAATCGCTCGATGAACAGACTGCATTCCGAAATCCATCGAAAAAAAGTGTTGCAATCACTTAGTTGATGAGTGTATATACTACAGTCATAATATACAACATGTCAATTATAAATATTAAATATCAAATTAAATAGTTTTTTCGGAAACTCTTATGGAAAGGTGAAAGTTTCTACTTCAGAAATTTTGGATAGAAATTTAACATAGTGGATTTACTTACTAATAATGATAATAATATAATGGTCGAGAAAGATAATTAAAAAATTGATAATAGTCAAAATGTTGTGTCAAATATTCCCCAGTGACCAAATATTATTGTTAAATATGTGCAAAAAATCAAGTTATTATCAAGTATTTATAAAATTAAAAACAAGTATTTATAAAATTTCGGCAAAATTAAAGAAAAATTTCTAGCCTTCGATTTGTCCTTTTTTTTCACCTAAAATTTGAAATTTTTCAACCTCCTTTTCAAAGAACTTCGATTTTAATTTTACTTAACCCTAGAACACTATTGTATGTATAGATATATACATGCAAGTGAGCACTAAGCTATGCTTCAGTGATCAGCAGGGGTTCCAACCAATTTATCTGTTAAAAGCTGAAGCCAAATTGAGCACCATTCTAGTACCATCCACCAAAGCGCGAACAAGCTTTTAAAAATTCAGTTTGTTATATATCAATTTCAATCTCCTGGTAATCAATATTATAACAGAGAGCGTGATAAGCGATTTCAATTTTTAAACAGGTTCAAAAACAGGTTTATGTTATATATTGTATTTTATTGGTAAGTGTTATGAGAAAACATTAGACTACATATATTCCATACTATATTTTAAGATTAAATTTAATATATTATACTCATTCTTTCTTTTTTTTTACGTTAATAATTAGATTATTTGTATTTATAAAGTTTTAGATCACAAATACTTTGTTATTAAAAGTATAAAATGAATGAAAATCTTGTGTTAATATATTAATTAAGAATAGTCTATTTCTTACGTAAAATGTACAGCATTGTATCACTCAATGTCAATAGCGTTCTAAGGTTAATATAAACTGATGGAAGAACCTTTTTCATCGATCTAAGAAATACACGCGGTTTTCTATATTCCTTAAAATTACACATCTCAGGTGTTACATCATGGCACGACGTTGGTGCATTGGGACTGTGAGGGTGGTACCTCGAGAACAGCATTGGTGTTCGCGCGCGTCGATCGCGCTTGTGGCACTTTCGTGTGGGAAAAGCCACCCTGGAGTCCTCTAAAAACGGCGCAAGTTGGAAGTACCGCTCCTACAGAGGTTTCGCTAACCACAAACCCGGAGGATGCGATACCAGCGGGCCTAGTCGGCAGGTACACGCAGCAGCAGGCTGACTGCGCTTCTGTCACTTTGGAGGAGGGATATCTCGACCTGGGATCGGTGAAAGAGATAATGATCGGCTGTTGCGATCGCGATCGAGAGGCTGATCTCAGGAGCATCTGCAAGAGATACGGCCTACCTGGCTCCGACTGCTGCATCGGCCTTATGTATGGCTCCAATCTTCCGGACAATCGACTGATCTTCCTACTTTGCCCTCCCGCTCTTAGCAAGTACGTATGAATTATTTTACTAATTTTGCACGTCGATTAATTCTTCAATATTTCTCACCAATAATGCGGAGAAAGAAAAGAAGATTCGAAATTTACCATATTCACGTAATTTGATTTAAAAAATAAAAATATATTCATTTTATTAACGAAATTAAAAATACTTAATTTCATGTTCTTTTTTAGAAAAATTTTCTTTGATTTATACGTTTGAGATTTTATTGCACGGATATTTTTTTATAATTTAATTATTTTATGTGTTATTTATGCTACAAACTTGTTCGTAAAAAATTACCAAGTAAATTAATTACTATGTCATTAATCTATCTTTCCACCAGAAGATTGAGTTCATTAATAGTATATTAATGATACGTTCATAATATTCGATATAATTATTGAACAGTGGTACAATAATAATAAACATTTCGTATTTTGAACGGGTCTAACAATTCCCTCTAATAATTTAGGATTTACCGTTAAATTACATATTGTCGAGCTACATAAATTACGTAATTTGCATGTTGCTTTGCTTTCAGAATATGGTACATGGGATTGTGTTGGATATTGCGAGGCCTCAAACGACAACAACAGTTAACAGATCGTAGATCGCGCTGGTTGAAAGAAAAATATCTTCAGTTATACTTTTCCTACTTGGAACAGCCGATAGAAGGCTTGGAACAGCCGACGACAGCCGACGCTATTCGCATTTTCGGCGGTCGCGACTGGTCTATGACAGAAAGTGTTGGCACGCTGTCTCCAACGAGCAGCAGCACTCTACGCAGACGAAATGTTAAAGGCAAAAAGACAAAATCGATCGGCAACATTCATGCTTTAACCAAGGTTCGCAGGCTTATCTCGCATCTTTTACAATAAACATAAATTGAGGAGCAGACTTTCAAAATGCGTTTTGTCCAAAATTTCATTTTTTTAGTTAAAGATGGCGTAATGTTCAGTGTTGAAAGACTCATATTATAAGCTACTTTGAGATGTTCAGAAAGCATTTTTTCATCGTTAGTTTATATGCTGAAAAAACATTGACATTTCGAAGTGCATTATGTTTTTTAACTAGAGACAAACAAATGCATTTGTTTAACATTTTTAGCAATTGTTCAGCAGTTTTGTTTAATATTTCATATCTCACTGATTGGCATATTGTTATTTTCTGTAAAGTGTAATTTTCTTGTGTGCATACTTTCTTTCTTTCTTGTTTTCTGAAAATTACAAATTTTGGACAAAACGCATTTTGAAAGTTCGCTCCTCAATTAGATTACGGATCACTCCAAATGCCGTATTTCATTTCATAAATAACTGTCTTCATCGAATTAAATAATTTTGATTTAACGTAGGATCTGAGTATAAAACAGTACGACTCCTCGACCTCGGATGGAGGTCTGTGCGCTACACCTCTTCGTCATATCGCTGGAAGCAGAGAATCTTTAACGAGAATCCTGCCAGCATCACCCAGAACAAGCCGAGACCGAATCCCGCCACGTAGTCCACCCGGTTCCGCCGACCGTATCACTTCCAACTTGTCTTACTCCGCTTTTCAAAGGTACATCAAATTCTCTTCATCTACCGATTTCAAGCAAAAGATTTATGTAGGTCGGGAATTATATAGATCGGAATAGAAAATCTTACAACTTCGTGTCGAATTCTATTTGAACATAAATCTGAATTGTGAATTTAAGAAAGTTTTCTCATATAAAACGAAAATGGGCAACTTTTCTTATTTTCTTTTTTTTTAAGCAACAAATCTTTGAAGCTGCAGTATCTTATGTTTATCATGCGTGAACAACATTTCAGAATTTTTTTTATTAATATAGAGCTAATAATATTTAAAAAAGAATTATATAAGTGACGTGATGCGAAAAGAATCTTTTTTGACGATACGCTTTGGACAATTTGAAAAAAAAAAGTTATAAAATGTTTTTATTTTTTAATTCTTGTTTTTCTTTCAATTTTGCTCCTTAAGCATAATAAACAATATTTTAATTTGAACTTCTTGACTTTCAAGGTTTCAAGCCAAATAACTTCATCAGTTTTAGATATAAATAATCAAAATATTTTAGGAACATATTTTGAAGATGTAAAAAAAGTATGTTCCTAAAATAAAAAAAGAAAAATGTAGAAACAAAGAAAATTTCAAAAATTTTAAGAAATTCTATTAAAAAAAACCTCTGAATTATTTATATTATGATCGACAAGTTTTCTTATACACGTCGCAATAACGCGTGCGTATTTTGTGCGTAGTTTGTTATGTGTCGCCAGAGAAAAGGACAAGAACGGATCTGGTGGTATAGGAGGCTTAGAGGCTCCTTGGCACATAAAAGCACGTACTACCTCGATCATGTACGAGACACAATTGAACTTTGTGGAGTTCGTCGCGCTTTTCCGATCGTTCAGCTTACGAGCCAGAAAAGATTTGCGTGATCTGTTCGGCCAATTAGCAATAACATGTCGTAGCCAGAGTGATGGATCATTAAGGGACTTTAACATTCGCCCGGTGGTACTCAGACAGACTAGTGATGCCACTCCACAAAGAATCGGTAAGCCGATATATAATCATTAAATTTTATGTGCAAATTTAAAAGAATAAAGAGTAGAATTTGACGCACAAGACAATTCTTATATTTAATCGTGAATATAGAAATGCAATAATAATTCTTAAATATAGATATATGAGTTAACTTACTAAATAATAATTTGCATGGAATAAACTAGGTTCATATCATTAAGTTTTATTATAACCAACTCAATTAGCATAACATATGTACGTTTGTCGAAAATGTTCACTTTTATCGAAAATGTTAAAATAACCATAATTATATCGATTTCAATCTATGAGTGACTACTTTTTTAAGTATTTATTTATAATGAAAAATAAACGTTTAAATGACTAGTTTTTTAAATACTATTTAAAATGAGAAATCAACGTTTTACTGTGCCAGGTTTATTGACGAGAAACAACTCTATTGACTGTCACGAATACAAGACGGGCAGCAACCTACAAAAAAAGCAGATCTTTGATGCTGTCGCGGCGGCTAGTATAATCAATAATTGCTCGGGCGTGGATACGTCAAAATCCCAAGTAATTACTCTAGCAACATTTACGAAATTTCTGGAATCTCGGCAGCAGGAAAAGTTGAGTGACGACGAAATCAAGGCGTTGATCAAGGTAAATGTTTATGGGGTCAGAAATTCCCTCACGAAAGAATATTTACTCGACGGCCTCATTTCTCTCTGACAATTTTCTTTCGGATGTACAGAAAAAATATCATCTAGTATCTTATATGTCTAACCACCGTTAAAGTGTTTACGTTCAATTTTGCGAATAAACTGCTTTTATATTGAAGTCAATAAACGAATCCTTCGTTTCATTCTATTACAGCGAAATTGTGATTTTAATTTTCCTTATCTGGAAATGGAAGACTTAACTTTTTCTCTCATGCGACTCTCGTGACATCATTACATTCACCCTCACACAAACATGACGTAACACAATCAAGCGAGCCCATTTATTCTCATTTCAGAGGCACGAACCGGATCCGGCACTTCGCACACAGTGGTGTTTGTCTTTCGAGGGTTTTGCACGGTATATGATGGACAAGGACAATTATGCCTTCCCGAACGAATATGCAACACCGTCCGAAACCGAAATGCAGCAGCCTCTGTCGCAATATTACATTGCAAGTTCCCACAACACGTATTTAACCGGACATCAACTGAAAGGAGAGTCCTCCGTACAGTTATATTCGCAGGTACGCTATGACTTTGAAAAATAAACTCGCGTAATAAACTTCATAGAACTAATATATGAATTATTTTTACTAGAATATTATCATAATTTCCTTTCATTGTAACGAATTCCAAATTATGCATTATTATTTAATAATCATTATGCAGTAAAATATAAAATATATAAATAAGTAAAAAATTGTTTATATATTTTGTAAATTCTTTGAAGTGAAATTTCAGTCTTGCAAAAGAGTAATTCAGTTTTCAGTTTCTAAAAATGAGATTAATTCTAAAAGTTTCAAAGAGTATGTATATCCAAGAATTATGAAAAAACATTATGTCAGTTAAAAACATGCATCTCTTTGATTTGCGTGAAATAAGTTATACGAATTTCCATTCGAAAATAGTAATTAGCGCGTATAAAACTTACTGTTTGATAACAACAAAAAATTTGTGCAGGTGCTTTTAACCGGATGTCGCTGTGTAGAGCTCGATTGTTGGGACGGTGATGATGGATCACCATTGATTTATCATGGTCACACTTTCACTACAAAAATACCATTTCGCTCGGTTGTGGAAGCGATAGATCGAAGCGCCTTTGTCAGTTCTCCTTATCCCATAATCCTTTCCATCGAGAATCACTGTTCGCCAAGTCAGCAAGCTCGTATGGCTCAAATATTTCAGGTACTCGATTGATTATCTAAACAAATTATATTTTCTTAGGAATTATCATCGCGCCTAAGTCAAATTATGATAAAAAAATATAACGTCGTTTCAGTCCGTTTTTGGCGAGAAATTGGTGACGAAATTTCTCTTCGAGTCCGACTTCAGTGACGATCCTCAACTGCCTTCGCCTTCGCAACTTCGTTACCGAATCTTGATAAAAAATAAGAAGTTGGTGATTGATCCTGCCGGTCCCTTGTCACACACACCCCTTAGTCATCGCGGGAAAATGCTCATAACGGATCGCGCATCTTCCATGAAGCAAATGCGGACTGATGTAAGCAGCACATCAGTCGTCGAATATTTTAGCGAGGATGAAGACGATGAAGAGGATGACGACGAGGATGACAACATCGATGGTAAAAATAATACATTATTAATAAATTGGAAAATTTAATCTATGATATCAATCGGATACGTATTTTCTTAAAAAAAGGATATTGGAATTCATTATAAATTTCTGTTCTTAAGAATCTTCCTAAGTCCAAATTTAATCTAAATATGCTGTAACGTGCTACATTGTCACCGTATCCTACTTAATTGCCACTTTTATCTCCGAGTTTAATATAAATCCAACCTTCTCTTTTCCTTGCTTCCGAGAAATATAGTAATTGCAATTAAAAACTCACTAAAACGAAGCACTTGACATGTAATTTACAGATAATTCGATTTCGAGCTACGAGAGATATCTGGGTGGCGGCCAAGTGCCGCACGGTCGTTTAAAATCGGATCCAGGGGTGGACGACAAGACGCAAAAACAAAGCAGCCAAATAGCCAAGGAGCTGTCGGACTTGGTAATTTATCTGCAGGCGATTAAATTTCGCGGACTAAATACCATGCCAGCCGGACCGGGAAAAATACGCCATCAATCGCATACAGGACCAGTTCAGAGGCACAGCATCGCCGGTATAGGACCCAGCAGTATAGCTTCCTCATCAGGTTCGCCGCAATCACTTTCAACGTCCGCCTCGATCGCAAGCGGCGGTAGCAACATCGATAATATCTTCAGGTCAGTTTTTCATTGTAAAGTATTTTCTCTATTCATTTCTATACTTATATATCGCATATTCGTCTCATTATATTTTTTTGGTTTATTCTTATTTTCTTGCGTCGTTTTGTATTTTCTTTTTTAAAACTTTTTGGCATTATCATATCGGCATTAATCGACAAATACTGATTTTGTAAATAAAAAAACATAGTGGTATGTATGTTCCTGTTCTTGTGTTATTAGATCCACTCGCGGAATGCCAGCCTGCTTCCAATGTTCATCTCTGAACGAAAGCTCGGCGAAGAAAATCTGTAGGAAACAACCATTAGGCGTAGTCGCTCATGCTGAAACATGCGTTAAATTATCAAACTGATGACGCGGGATTAAATCTGAACTCAGCCATGTTTGAGCAAAGCGGTCAATGCGGATATGTTAGAAAACCTTCAGTGATGTGGGATAAAGGACATATGATGTACAGGTGAATTCATACTCTGTTTTTTCTTATAAATTTTTTAGTTATGCAGCGATAATAATTATAAACGTAGCATACAATCCTTAAGAGATCGATTAATTATAAATCATAAGCAATAGTTGTTAAATGATTGCTTCTGATCGCATTTTAAAGATTTATCTTTGTTATAATAGAACGTCTTTGTATTTAAAAAAATAGATAATTAAATAGAAAATTATTTCTGAACGGTCATATAAATTATTTCAAAAAATTTTCTTGAACAATTATAAATGTTTTTACAGACGATTCAACCCTTGGGACAAAGAATTCGACGGGCTGCATTCTGCGCATTTAAGTCTATCAATAGTCTCAGGACAATACGTTTCGGTTACGAACTTCGTCACCAGCACGTACGTTGAGGTCGAGTTGGTCGGTATACCGATCGATTGCGCGAAACACAAAACAAAGGTGATCCAGAACAATGCGTTGAATCCCATCTGGAACGAAAAATTCTGCTTCCAAGTGATGTTCAAGGATCTTGCCTTCCTACGTTTCGGTGTTATCGAGGCGAGCTCTCATCACGTGATCGCGCAACGCGTAATACCGCTTAAATGTCTACGACCTGGCTATCGACACGTACGATTACGATCTTGTAAAAACAAGCCATTAGCCCTTTCTACGCTTTTTATCTATTCCCGCTTAGAGGAGGAGAGTTTGGACTATAACACCTGCTGCCGCGATCATAAAGAGTCATCTAAGCGTCTCTCGTCGAGCAAAGAGCCTGAGAAACTGAGCACCGTTGATCCCGGATCCCTGGGTGGTGTCACCTTGAAGAGACGAATGTTCTTCCTGATGGTTTATCACGTGATACCAGACGAGCCGTATACCATTCTGAAAGTGACCCAGGAGAGTACTACGCAAGAAGTGATGCTACAGGCGTTGCAGAAGGCCGGGATATCGCCGGATCATGTAGATGAGTACATTTTGGTAGAGGAAGTGTCCCGCGGATGGGAGAAAAGAGACAAGGAAGAACTACCGACTCAACGTGTGCTGGACCCTACAGAACATCCCCTTCAAGCACAGGCCCTATGGAAAGGGCAAGGTCGCTTCCTGTTGAAGCGAGTAGGCGACGATCCAAGCAGTAGAGCGTGGCTCGCCTCTATCAGGAGCACGGCCGGCCACTCGAAGCTCAACGATTCCAACACGAGGGACCAATCCACTCACATATGGGACGAGGCAGACACCTTTCTAGTCTGCATTTATAACGTCTCACCGGAGATCCCTTATGCGATTCTACGTGTGCCGATAAGCAGCTCGGCTCAGGACGTGTTAGCGCAAGCTCTGATAAAGGCCAGAAGAATGGAGAACCCAACCAAGTTTGCCTTGGTCGAGGAGCTGGAATGGGGTGGTGCGGGCGCTGTCGGAAGCGGAAATCGTCAGTTAAGAGTATTGAGCGACGATGAAAATGTTTACACCACGCAAGCCTTTTGGAAAACTCTCGGCAGGTTTATCCTCAGAGAAAGAGAACAAGCGATTCCGAGACGGAACTTGTTGCCAGCGACCCTCGATAGACTCAGTAAGGGATTTTCTGTGGGCAGATCGGTGTCCCTGCCAGGATCCAGCAAAGAAAAGGTGCCTGTTTCGGAAGCACTGTCGGACCCCACTTCTAGAGGCCTGAGACATCGGCTAATGATGTCGGGACGTAGACGAGAAGTTCATTCTGATGGAGAAGATACGCGTGAATCTGACATACTGAATGTTGCTTTTCAATTGAAGAAGGTCTCGTTCAGAAAATTGATGAGCTGGAAGTCATAGTGGCAGTCAAGGGCGTCGTCGATATCATCGATCTTCGCCGCTCGGAGAAGTCACCCGTAAGCTCGTAGTCCAATTACTATGATCAGAAATTAGTTCTGGTCTCGCGAAACATTTTTCATGCCGACGATCCTGTCGAGGTGCGATCTCAAACTAAAAGAAGAGCTTCGGAGAGCTGAAAGATTTCACTTTGTCAAGAATTTATGTAATACAAGCGTCACACGGACGATTAAACAAGTTAGAATCTGTAAGTCGTTAAGCCGAATGATAGAACAAGTGGTACGATCAGAATAGTTAAATATCTATCGCGATACTAAAGAAATATCAGACAACGTGTTTCATCACTGATTATTGTGATAATTATTACGCAAAAAAAAATATTGGAGAAATTTCCTATTTCTCCAATAGGAAAAGAAAAAAAATCAATTTCTTCGGGAAAGAGCAGAATAACTTTTTGGGAAATAATGTCTGGAAAACAACGCGACATTGTTAAACTCGATTATCTCTACGATATTTGAGTGAAATATTGAATGAGATGAAATCGCCATCACTGCAGAAAATAACTTCGGCAAATCGAATTTTTCAAAGAGGACCGAACGATACCGACATGGAGATTATTATGCCGCCATTTTCAAAGATTTTTCAAGAGTTTTAAAAAAGATATAGCATACCTAAACTAACGATGTAGTACAATCATTAAGTGGCAAAGCGACGATTCTTAAATCCCTTAAATTCGCATGAAAGCCAAGCATCATATTGGATTTTGTTACGTGACAGTAAATTTGTATCAGACGCGGATTGATGCTGCAGCTTCCGTTAGAGACGCGCTGGCGCGTCGAAAAAAAAATTACATATCGCGCCTGATTTTATTATTTTTGTACAACGAAAGAAGGAGGGAGATCGCACCGAGCGATCTCTAAACATTTTGCCAAACGACAATTCTAAGTGATTTCTAGATCCGCGACATATTCGTAATGTTTAGACGTATTGGAAGTGCTTCCCTGTTCGAACGTGTTTCCGTTTGAAATATATCGGATCCGCCTTCGTCTAATCGATATATCGCATCTCCAAAGAAATTACGTAGCTTCATGTGACTTCTCGTCATTCGTAAGCATCATTTTTATCATTTACGTCGTACCTGAGGTTTTCCAATGATACAAGAGTTACGCTTTCGCGTAAAAGCTCTGTAATAAAGTTATATATCGCTGTTATCGCACTTTGTTTGTTCGCTCTATTAATGTTAATAATTTCTTTCTGCGTCTAGTCAACCATGTGATAAGGAATTTGAGTATAGAATCCGATGAGAATATCATAATGTATATTGGGAGTTGCTACTTAAAGAACGTATTTACTATACATATATTGTTAACGCTAGAGGGTAGATCGGTGTTGCATTCTCGATTACCGTCCCTCTCTCCTGACTGTTTTAGCGAGCGTATGTATACGTAGACTGTAAATACGAGACCAAGGAGTGTCGATGGAATGGGAAAACCGCGTCCGAATGTGCTATTGCTCTATTCGATTATTTTTTCACGTGACAAGGCATTCGCGCGTCGACGATCTTCGTCGCACACTCGAAGCCAGCAGCCTAATTTTATGAAAAATAATTTCGCTAATAACATTAATTAATTAATTAATGAGAAACAATATGGAATCTGACGTCGCAAACCAGTGAGGTCGCGAGATAGCCTTGCCCCGTCTTCCACGTCCGAATCGTTCCAAATATTTTATATTTTTTCGAGACGGCCCCGCAGACTGACTTTTTAGGCGAACCTATATGACACGAAAACGCCGGGATTTTTTAATATTGTGAAAAAAATATAGAAATATATACACTATAGTCATATCTTTCTCCGAGATGCTTCGCGACGTCACTGGGGACTCTGTATATTTTTGGATACCACTTCCTTCCTTACCCTTCATATCTTTCCGAAAATACGTAATCATATCACATATCCACGTAAGAGACCAAATACGCGAAACTGATAAACAGAAGAAACGAGAAACAAACACACCGGGCAATTACATTTGTACACATATCTCTGATTGTGAGTAAGTAAAACAAATGAAATAAAAAAAACATTATTTGATAGATAAAAGAAATATCATTTGATAGAGTACAAAAGAGAATAGATCAGTGCGACCCGAAAACAGTTGTTTTATTTGCTAACTGTGGAAAGAAAAATAAAAACAATCTGATTAGTCCGATTTGTAGATCAAATTTCTGAAGAAAAATATGAAAAAATAAACAAATTGTATTTATAATATCCCGTTAGTTACTGCAATCGTTATAAAACTTTCAGAAACATGCTGACCAATATGTTATTTACTATCACTACTACCAACGCATTTGACAATATTGCGAGTAGTAAGGTGATCATACGTCCCATTTCTCCAAAATGTATTTTTCGTTGCTTGCAATGTTTTTGTATTTATGAAAGTAAATTTCATTTGACATATATTTCCGTCATAATTTTTCTTTTTCTTCTTCCGAAAAGATAAGAAGTTACAATATATTGTAAAAATCGAAAATATTTCTCTTCTTAATGATGAGAATAATCAACTATTTGTTTTCAAAAAACGATATTAAATAGATGTGATTATAAACCGATTGCGCTTTTCGATTATAGTGCAAATCGAGCTGCAGATAATCTTGTCCGTCATTCCCGTCCTCAAGACGAAAAAAATAATCGATTAATTGTTTGAAAAATCGAAACGCATTAAAATTTCTCAAATGTTAACAACAGAAGTCTAATAAATCATGAAATCGCGCAATAATTTGGCGAGCGCAACAAACACACATATACTTTCATCATTACGTGTAATTCACACTAAATACTGCGAGATCAAAGTACATCCCGGTACACCGCAACAGTATTTACCTAATACGTAGCATCCTGAAGGAACATTATGTATATAGCAGCAATGAACAATGGCTACTAATAACGTTAATTAATTACTATAATTAATATTCGACGCTCCTTGGACCTCCGACTAAACCCCCGTATCAAAAGAATCATCGATTGTAAAAGGACCGTATCTATCAAGCGTTGCATCTCGATTGCAATCGTTGTAACCATTCGTCGCTGTGCCGCCGCCAAATGTCGCAACAAGATGCGTGCAAGCCATTGGCAGACAACATTGTGTGTGTCCTCCGTAAAATCACAATTAAAAATTTTATATTTTCCTCAATAAAATAAAACCAATTACAATTACTTAATTCGCTCATAAATTTCAGTTTGATACAAAATTCGACAAAATGCACTTCGATGTTATGTTATGAATTATGAGAATTATGTTATATGTAAAATTAGATTATCTCTCTCTCTACTTCATTCAAATAATAACAATACGCTGTTCACTGCAGGTTATTTACTCACTTCATTAATAGTTATCATCGACGTGCACAAAATATTTATTATCTGTTATTATTTAGTTATTATTTATTATTAAGTATTGAATAAAATTCATTCCGAGATAATAAATAAAACGTTTTACTTTTCCTTACGATATATCAAACGCAATGTTGTTTCACTATACAACATGTTCAATGACGTTCGACGATATTTTCAATACTATTTTATCTCATTTTTTGAGGCTAACACTAAAGAAATTCGGTGAGCGTATTATAAAAGATTATTAAAGATCTTGAAAAGACTATTGTATCAAGAGCGGTGCGCACATACGAAACGATTGCTTCTTAATATTTTTGGGACCACTCTGATTAAGGAAACTACCGAAGGAGCTCCCAGGAGCCGATCCTAAATATAAACGGTACCAGTATTAAGGCTCCTTGTTTTCTTCGTCGGTCGAAAATGCGGACCGCACGAGGAAAGTAGGAGAAAGGAAGAAGACGAAGAACGAGAGATGGGCAGAACGACAGAAATCGAACGGAAGATTATCCTCAAGGAGATGAAGCAAAAGGCCGAATGAATAGATGCTGAAGCACACTTTAAACGATCTATAATTCGCGTCAAAATTCAGGATAAACTTTTACTTATAGTCTTAAGTACAATTTCACTTAATGCTTGATGCTAGATTTCAAATGATTACCATACTTCAAATGTCAGCGTCAATATATAAAATTATAAAGAAAAAAATTCTACTCTAAAATCTGATGCAAATTATATATCATTCAAAATGAGCTTGATGCATCGACCGGGCATATCTCTAATTGTACATATCCGTGATTTTTTGGTAGCTGTTATGTTGATATAAAAAAAAAAACACGCGTAATACATATAAATATGATCGTATATTCATACATATACGTTATTCTCGAAGGGCCGTCGAGCGGCATTTTTGCGTGCATAACATAATTCAAAGTCAAAGAAAGAAAATAATGGAAGAATTATACTTAATCTTGACGAAAGATGCGATAGTTAGTAAGATAGAATGATTAAAAAAACAGACAGATGAATTGATTGATTAATTAACATTTACAATTGACATTTACAATTCAATTAAGAGACGTATTCTCGTCGCGTGCAATCGGGCTGGCACCGACTTTGTACGGTGTATCTCTGATCGAAATATGATCAGATGCGACATGAGATGTCTCAAATTGCATATTTATGAATTTTATCATATACGTAATGCATTTATCTTGCAAGCGGTTGCTGCCCGCGTCTCTCGTCGATGGCTTTCTCCGGTTCATCGTCAGCAAGTATTGCTATGACCGTCGAAAGAAAATTATATATGCGAAAATTATATTAACGAACTATGCAGCAATTAGTTAAATCGCCGAATAATAATGACTATATATAGTTATCAGAGAGAAGAGAACCAGGTTAATCGTTTCTTGCCTATTTCTCTTAAAAAAAACTTCATCTCGTTCAATGATTTTTAGCGTATAATTTACAACTATTTACAATAATTAACTTATCATCTTGGAAATGGTATGAAAAATGCAGAAAAAAAGCGCTCTGCCGTTTGATGTATTTTTTAAACGTATATATTATGAATTTTTATTAAAAATTTTGACATTAATCCGTTTAATCCAATGTTATATAATTTCGTCACCACCTGTTGTAAACTTTTCTGTTTAACCTCCAGTTAGTGTATAAATTTTCGAAAATGTTATTGTTGTACGTGCATAATAAACTTATACTTTTCGTAAAAATATGCTGATATAGATTGGTCAAAAAATAAAAAAAATTTTTGTGAACTTTATTGTGAGATATTATCGAGTAACGAGCCATTCATATTTCATGCATTATAATCGCTATTAAACCGCGATGCTTGAAGAGTAAAATGGACGATGAAAGATTTGTAAGGCAAAACAAAAAAGATGTTATCGTTAAAGCAGAAAACTTCTTTCCTAGTACGCGTACAGTATGCCGTAGCATTTTGTCACATTTAAATGACAATTATTACAAAATAAAAAAAGAACGAGCATTATACGAGTAGCCGCTAACATTAATAGAATTCTCTTTGGCGTTATTATGTAAACACTCGAGTAGCTTCCGTTCTCGTTTCGAGGAATAAAGAGAAGCATGTAATACCCGTTAAATAAAAAAAAAGCATGCGACCATCTTGGAAACTTATAGCGAATTTACCATTACAATAATATATTAATACTATTGACATTGTTGAGAAAAAGGATCTACATGTAAATATATAAGCATAAAGAGCATTTTTATAAATAAGTGTTGCTATTGTTATTTCAAGCGTGAAATTTTCCTTTCCATTTTTCCTCTCACATACCCAATTTTAAATATAAGAAAGATTTCTATATAATTTTAAGACAACTGAACGGAGTTTGTCCTTATTGATTATATATACAATCAAATTTAATACATTTCTTGAATTACGCGAAATTTATGTTAAGATATAATTAGTCTAATATAATAAAAATTTATTTTTTAAAATAAGAAATACGTATTTCCACTAATAAATTTGTCCATCTAGATATTATAGGTTTCTTTTATTTTGATTTCTTTTTATTCTCGATTATATTTATTTTTATTCTATTTATCTATTAAACAAATAGAACTAATTAAAATCTAAAAATTTAAATTAAAAATTAAAAAATAAAGTTGTTATTGTATTACGGTTAATTAATTATATGTCATGATCAAAATCAACTTCATTAATTCTTGTATTTGTACTATTCCTTTTGTATCATAAACACTGTTAATTATTCGATCTTATATATACCAAAATACATAAAATAAATTACATTTTCGCAACAATCATAGAACATATTTCAATTTGTCTAATAAATTTGATATCTTTTCTAATTTTTACTTTTATATGCACTGATGTATGCACATTTATCGTTTTACAAACAAAATCTATCTTATCAACACTTGACGGTAAAATGTATATTTATAGGTCGCTGTTTAGTTCTTTTTGCATCGCTGCTCTCGTAAGGTGTTATGTAACCGTCGCACTCACAACACAATGTCTGTAAGTATATGCTATACACGATATTTATTGCAAAAATATAGACCAAATGAATATTTAAACAAACATAAACTTCGTAATCGTTCTCTTATCGTTGCACATTATGTATGTATAATTATGAAAACTAAAAGAACACGTACGTATAGTTTATTGAAAAATACGAAAAAACAAACCGTGTAATTATTGAGAGCTATATATCAAAGATCGATCGTGCTGTCATCGTCATGTGAAATTTTGAATTAAAGCTATACTAGAGTCATGCTATGTTCCGAAAAATATCCAATCACATCGCGCGCGCGCTTTAAAAGTACTATCTCTATTAAAAACAGCATCAATTACAAAAAATAAAAGATATTTCTAATATACATATATATTAATTCTAATATATTGTATTTTTGTTACACACACGCACGCACGCACATCTTAAATATAATAGTAAATAATAATAGATTGAATATATTAAAATTTCTAGTAAAATATTCTAAAATATCGTATAAATATTTATTTCTAGAATACCATATAAATATTTATTTTTAGAATAAGAAATACGTATTGTTATTTCCATAAATAAATTTTTTCGTACATTGTTTATACCTATTTATTCTAATTATCCTTTATTCTCAATTTTCCATAAGAAAGAAATGAGAATTATAGAAAAATTTCAAAATAAAAAAATAACTTAATTTCGGCAATTTCAGAGTAGAGAGATTTAATGTACGTTTTTATTTTAAAGCTATTATTTCTTTAACGAAAAAAATACATAAAATAAAAGAGAAAATTTAAATTCTAATTTCAAGATGTTACTGCGCTTTCTCTGTTAAAAATGTTTATTATTAAACAAAAAATAAAAGTTTATCCGAAAAGCTGTGATATATAATTTCTTTACATGTACAAGATGCGTTTCGTTATTCACTGCGAATACTACAAATCTATATTTCACGTTATGTATATATTATAGATTTTCTGTACTTGCAGTGAATACCGCAGCCATACACAATCTATATTATTCAAATAAGGAATAAAACAGGTACATTCAAATCAAATTAATATTCTCAAAGAGGAATCTGTATATGTTTGTGATGTATCGCGTTGATTTAATTAGAGTCAAATAAAATAAAATACAAATTTTTTATAGTATTACAGATATAAAAATTTATATTTTATAATTTTATAGCGATTGTCATATACCTTCAGAGGTCTTATTGCTCCTGTATTAACTCCTTTTAGTACTAATGGGTAATTAACTGCACCATAAACTCTAATAATAACTAAAATTAAAGTGAAATAATCTTAAACTGGATGATAATGACTGGCATTTATTTAATAGGTCACTTAATTTGGATATCATATCAAAATATGCGACGCATTTAGCAAAGAAAGGAATCAAAGGTATACTTGGTAAGTTACTTGTAAAATTAATTTTAGTTAAATTAATTTTGTATAATAATATTTAATACATTAAATTTTAGCTAAAAATTTTTTTGCATAAAAATCATTTTAGAAAAAAAAAGATATATATAATATATAATAAAAAATTATTTAAAATTAAGATACGTTTTTCCATAGTTAATAAAATTTTTCATAATTAATAAAATAAAACTTTTTTCATATTTCTTATTGCAGTTAATGGAACAAATGGTGAAGGAATGGCAATGTCCGTTGCCGAAAGGAAACTTGTTACCGAAACTTGGGTAAAGGCAGTGGAAGAAACAAAACAACACCTGATGGTTCAAGTAGGAGGTGCACCTCTTCCCGATGTTATCGAACTTGTATGTATAATTATTATCATACGCGTAGAATAGCATTCGTACCATCTTCTGCGATTAATCAACATAATGGTAACAATATATAGGCGAAACATGCAAGCAGTCTGCCCGTAAATTCTATACTCTGCTTACCTGAACTGTACTTCAAGCCTATCACCCCTAAACAATTAATTGAATACTTGGAAATAGTTGGCGAGGCGGCACCAAAGACACCGTTATTATATTATCATTTTCCTGTAATGACTAATGTTAACAGTAAGCGATCTTTCGACATTTTAATGTACGCATACTAGAAATAATCAACTGACATTATTGATAAGATTAATATTTCGTTATATACACATATTTCCAGGATTGGCAAGTAACGCGTTACTTGTAACGCCGTTACTTTGTTGATCGTTATGCTTTGTTGACCTTGTTATAATAACGATTTGGTAATAACATTGTGAATTTTTTATGATGGTAATTCTAACATCAGAGTTGGAAAAGTTAATCGTTACTTGTAATGGATTGAAAAAGTCATTCGTTACTAAAAAAAAAACTCCTAATTTGTAACGCGTTACTCGTTATACTTATAACTTTTTCAGTGTAACGCGTAATAGTGACAAGTTACTTTTCAAAGTGACTTTTCTAACCTTAGTACAATCTCAGCGTTTAGTTAGCGTTACCGTCATAAAAAATTGCAACATCGTCATCAAATTGTTTACTATAAAAAGTAACGACAAAATAATTGAAAAGTAACGTTTGCCAACCCTGCATATTTCATAATAAATATTATATCATTATCGTGTATAAATATTTTGTAGTACACATGGGACGATTCCTTGAATCAATTGGTGACAAAATACCTTCGTTTGTGGGTATAAAATTCACTAGCGCCAACTTAGAGGAAGGAGCGCAAGCGTTACGTGCCGATAATAGAAAATTTAGTATTTTCCTTGGCAATAATCAGGTAATAAAATAAAAATTAGTTTAGACCAAGATTTAGGCGTTTTATAATAAATAAAAAATGAACTAAAAATAGTTAATAATTGACCAATAAGTAGATTCCCGATGAATGTTCTTTACTCGATGAGTGAGCATTGGATGATTGCAAGAATAGGCCCAGAATAGGAAAATCCTCACTGATTACTGATTATATGTATTAGCTACATCTATAAACTTATTTTTATTTAAGTTTGTGTTTTTTATTGCAAACTAATAGAAATATATTTAATTTGATCTGATTCCTTAGTTAGTGCACGCTGCGTATGCATTGGGAATGGATTCTTTTATATTAAACAGCTTAAATATGTTTCCCGAACTTGTATTGGATCTTCTTACTGTTTGCAAGAATGGAGATATGATAAAAGCCAAAGATATGCAAGAGAAGCTTTCAAGCGCTGTAATCGCTATGATGAAACATGGTAGGTACCATTTTTATATTTAATAATGCATTATTACTCAAAATCGGTTCTTTATTCTAGATAATCGAGTACAGGCTACAAAAATAGCAATGGCTCTTCTTACTGACATTGATACAGGGCTATCTCGTGCACCACCTAAATCTATTTCTTCTGAGACTATAGCAACTGTGATAAAAGATTTAACGAACTTAGGATATCAGCCAAATATTAAACATTATTGATAATATTTTACTTTTGCACTTTATCCTATCTGTATAACTTTTATTACATTATATTATATAGATATTATCTCTGGTTCTTCAATAAATTATCTAATTATAAACCTAAATATTATAATGATATCTTCTAAGAATAAATACAACAATCAAAAAATATCAACTAATATTATCAAAATTTCATCAAGTTCCTATATTATGTCAAATGACTGGAGAACCTCCTTAAGACCTTAAAAATATATATTCCTAAATTAATGAATTTAGAATATATAGCAATTGGTTAAATCGCTAAATATTAATGACTATGTATAATTATCAAAGAGAAGGAAACTTGGTTAATCGTAACTGTTTCTTGCCTATTTTTTTTTTAAATTTTATCTCGTTTAATAATTTTTAACATATAATTTACAACTATTTACGTAAAGAGCATTTTTATAAATAAGTGCAGCTATTATTATTCAAAACAAGAAATGTTTTTCTTCATCTTTCCTCATGTATCCAATTTCAAATGTAAGAGATGTTTCTACATAATTTTAAAGTAATTAAATAACGGAAAGTTTGTCTTTTAAATTGATTAAAGTTAAATTTAATATATTTTTTATATAAATTACGTGAAAATAATAATTATTTTAAGATATAACTAATCCAATTTGTTTCTAAAATGCTTAATTTGAATAAGTTTTTAGATTTCAATTAATGTTATAATTTAAAATATAACTAGTCTAATTTGTTTCTAAAATGCTTTTAACTTGAATAAATTTTTAAATTAATGCTATATTTATCATAAAATATATGATCGGCGTTTTATCAGATAATCTTTATCTGATATACAATGTTTTTCTGATAAGATTAATGATAAGTTTTATTAATAAGAACTGATAAGATCTAAAAATTCACTGATTAAAAATTATAAAATATGAAGGTGGTTCAAATATGAAAAAAACTTCTTTTAATACAAATTAATGTTGAGAAACGTATTTATACTGAGTAATAAATTAGGGTGTCTCACGCTTTACATACTTTTGGACTCGCGATAGCTGTTTCTGTTGTTGCAATATCCAACGAAATGGCTTATTTTTATTTAGATTTGTGTTTTTTTAATGTAATAAAAATAATTTAATTTGAAATAAGAACTCGATGCCTACAATAAATTTATTGATACAATTACATAACAAAATTAAACATAAACTTTAAGTGCTTAAATAATTCAGTATAAATTTATACACTACAGCTGTGCCAAAATTCACTGTCAATGCTGAAAGTCTGTAACGTAAACTAAAGATTTTCAGCGCTTGCAATAAATTTAGAACACAGCCTGCATATGTAGTCATTTAAACTGCGCGCTGAAATGATTGTTCCATCTTGAAACACAAACCCGATTGAACTTCAGTAATAATAGCAAATTAAATTGATTAATAATTCAATAATTTGATGCTCAAAGGCATTTTAAAAAGATCTTAATGATGCTGAACATATTAAAATCTGTAAATAATTTTATTCCGAAAAATATTACCTTGATCAAAGATGGAATCCGTATCTTTTGCATTCTGTGCGAGCATTCTTACCATTAGACCACCGAGGCATTTGCCAAACTAATATTTTTCGCAATAAAATTATTTACAGATTTTAATATGTTATTCAGCATCGTTAAAATTTTCCTAAGATGCCTATGAGCATCAAATTATTAAATTGTTAATTTAATTTGTGATATTACTACTATAGTTCAGTCGAGTTTGCATTTCAAGATCGAAAATTCATTTTGGTGCACAGTTTAAATTAAATGACTGTATAAATTCACACAAAATTATTTGAGCACTTAAGATCCAACTTGATCGTTAAATGCTTTATCCCCCTTACTTAATCCGTAAATGTGTAATCACATTTACGGTCTTAAGAAATTCTTAAGAAATACTTTCAAATCCTCTTTGAAATTCTCTTTGAAATTCTTTAAGGGGATCCTAAAGTCGTTAAGTCTGTATTACCAACTAAACGCAATAACTTTTGCATAACAATCATTTTTTTCCTCGTTTATAAATTTAAAAATCATTTTCCAAGATTAAAGCATATGCATATTAATTCGTGTCTGTGAGGTGGAGTTTATATCGAGAACGAAAAGAAATTGTTTAAATTGAGATCTTTACTATTTCTTAGTCCAATATGACGTTAGAGATGTTAATATCGTAACAACATTTGCATAATATAAAAGCTTTGCAATCTGTACGAAATTGTGGTCCACAGGTACGTAGTTCGCATAAACAAACAACGTCGAATTTTTGGAATTAGACTTAAACACTTTATCGCGACGAATTTATTATACGAAAATTGATCCATGCGACTGCGTGTATTATAATTTACGTGACATATTGGTGTAGTAGTATAGAAAAGATATATCGATATCCTGTAAAACAGCGACCTCTGATGAGACCTCTCGTTCGAGTTCAGGCTTCACTCTAGAATCCCCTTAATTAAAGCTTTACACAAAAAAAACAAGTAATTATTTACATTACGAAAAACAAGTTTTTATCTGTTTCCATTAAAATAGTTATCTAATAACAACATTTTACATTAATTATTCCTCGCTATTGTGTGTCGTAAAAAGTAGTAAATTGGATGTTGACGTTATAAAAAAAAATAATTAATTTTTATCTTCTTAGAACTTGTGACTTAAGACTAATGACAACTGCTTATAATTTTTATTTTATACTTTATTTTATACTCATGAATATTAATGAATAACACAATGGTACAAACATTTGCGTTCTAGAAAAGAAAAGTGATTTCTTATAGTCTTTGACGTGCTTTGAAATAATATCCGCGCGCGCGTTAGCGAAAATGTTTTTTATCAGATTTTTGAGAAATATATAAATTGAAATCCTCTAAAACATTTTTTACATCTTTGAAAATTTGTAACTGGTTCTAGGATGCGTTCCATTTAACGTTCGCAACGCTCGTGAGTATCATTTTATCTCTGTTGTTATCAAATGTTAAACAAGGATGAAATGATGCATGCGAGTGTTGCGTGGAACGCACCCTTAAAGATTTAAAAAAGACCATAACTTAAAGCTTTGAACATTGTACTTTAAAATGAAAGTATATTAAATCTTCAACCGCGAACATATAAATCATTGAACCTCTAGTAATGATTTCCTTAATAATGATTTCTTTATCACTTTAAATAAAGTGCGCTTTATTTTAAGGAGAAGTAGAACATACATAGGATGGCATAGAATCGCATTTAGACTCAAAACAAATCATTATATATAACAAAAATGTCAACTAAATATTATTACTTAATATTTAATATGAAAAAGAAATTATGGTTTGCTATGAATAAATCTAAATGCAATCTTATATCATTCCATATAGACTTATTCTTAAAATAAAGCGCGCTGAAAGTTGGACGATGCTCGCAATGAAAGATTCAATATTTTTAATTAAAAAAAAAACAGTGTATTACAAATTTTAATTAAAGACCTTTTTTAAATATCTAGTACATCGAGTTTACAAATTTTTAAAGATATTAAAAAACGTTTTTGGGGAAAGTTTTAATTTTTTTACTATTTTTCTCAAACATCTGACATATAATAGAATATTTTCTTTTGCCAATTCAAGTTCAGCGCATTAAAGACTCTGAGAATTCTTTCAATCTTTTTTCCAGATTACAGCAAAATAGTAATAAGTTGTATTAAAGTAACAAATGTAGATAATAAAAAATTCAGACATTGAAATCAACTAACATGTTAATAATCATCATGATTGGCAAGACACTTTTTCCATTGTGAAATGGAAACTAGACAACAGATGTCTTGTTTAGAAAATTCCTCAGATTGAGATCGAATTCACTCGCAAATAGCCTCCTGCACTACTACATCTGACGGAAATTTTCTGCCTTTCAGATTCTTCTTCAGAATAGTGACACAGTTTCGGTGAAAAATACTGGAACACCTGGCTTACAGCCCAGATTTGTCGCCATGCAATTTATACATCTTTTTGGAGACCTAATGAAGAATCTGAAAGATAGGAAATTTCCGTAGAAACGCAACAGTGCAGGAGATTGTCTACGAGTGGGTTCAATCCCAAGGAATTTTATGAATAAAGTATCCGTTATTTGGTTTCGTAATCATGGTGATTATTAATGTATAGTCGATTTCAATGACTGAATTTTTCATCCGCTACGTTTCATTTGACTGCCCTAATATATTATAATTATTGAACTCTATATAATTATTCTGTATATAATTAAATTCATCAAGGAAAATACTTGCTCATATAACAAAAGCGGCATAGATTTTAAAAATATACGACAGAAAAAAGATATATGAGACAAAATGTCTAAAAATTAAAAAGTTTTATATGATGTAAATATGTTAGGTAATATTTTAAATTTAGGAAATACTTTAGGCTCATTTGTTTGAAAATACGTAAACAATTTTTGATGAACACTAAAATTTTCTCTAATACACACTCATATAAAAATATAAGATTTTACTTATTATCTCTTCTCCTAACATCTTTTTGGAGACCTGACAAAGAATTTGAAAAACAAGAAATTTCCATCGGACGCAACAGTGCAGTAGCCTTATATCTTCTTCATAAAAATAATCTGATTCGTGTAATTTGAATTCAATTTAATAATAAATTTAATAATAAAAAATCAAGAAATCATTATCTATTATTGTTGTTCAATAATTAACAAACATGTATACCGTGATTCAATTTTAGAATAGCTATATTCTAGTATAGTATTCAAATATAGAAATATAGAAATAGTATTCAAATATAGAAATATAGAAATAATATTCACAAATATAGAAATAATATTCAAATTCGATATGTGACAAACTATTAGCGACATCCAATAGCAAAATCGATTACGACCATGTACAACTTATTGCAGAACAGGTTTTAAAGTTTCACAAGCAAAATTTATCTTATCAGCACTCGACAAGGAAGGCTATATTTGATGACATTCGTAGTTCGTTCTTATTTCAAAACAACTCAAGAAGTTAATACGGTTCTGTAATTGTGTGGTTTATTATAACATCTTAGAAGATTGTACATACGACGATCTTGAATATAAGAAGGGATTGTGAACATCAACCTTAGTTATTATTTAGTTCTCTTCGCATCGCTGCTTTCAAAAGTTGTATACGTTAGTGTCGCGCTTATAACACAATGTCCGTAAGTATATGATATTCACGCAAATATTTATCACACAAATATAATCGAATTATAAAAAAAATATATATACATATTTAACGTAATTGTGTCGTATTCGTTCTGTAATAATCATTATATACGACGTATATAATTATACAAAATAAAAAAGACATATATCTCTACTAAAAAATATGCTGAACTGGAGTTATTAAGTTATATATTGTTCTTATTATATAATATGTTGATCATACTGCTAAAATCATATGTCATATGAAATCTTAAGTTAAAGATTGCATGTCACTGCCATGTATTATTTCAGAAATTATCTAATCGCATCACATTAAAATGCCAGTCATTATGTGATTATACAAAAAGATTCCTAATAAAATATCAAAATTTATATTGTAATATTTATTTCCTAATATAAGAAATACATATTGTGATTTAAATCTTTCCTAGCAGATCTTGTTTATTCTATCTTCTTATATACATAATTTTCCATAAGAATAAAAATTGGAAAAAAATTCTAAAATAAAAAAATAATTTAGTCGCAAACAGTATATATAAATCTAAATTAGAGAAATCTACTACATTTCATTTCAAAATTCAATTTCATTTTTATTCTTTTAATGAATAAAACACTTGAAAATATAAAAAAAACTTAAATTTTATATCTTTTAGATAATTTTGTTGCAGTTTCTTAAAAATTCTTGAACAAGAAATAGAAATTTACCTGAAAAACTACGACATGTAACTTTTTTTTACATCTAATTTGTTTTTATTATTTAAGTTGATTCTTTATTAAAGTTCCGAAAATTTGGGGTACCTCACCAGGGCCCACCCAAAATTACAAATATCTGCATAATTTGGATAAAATATTAAAACTATGTGTGTGTGTGTGTGTGTGTGTGTCATAATGAAATATGGAACATACGATAGTAAATCAAGAGCGGCATCTTCATCGAACGAAAACAAGATGAAATTATGTTTACTTTTCGAGATTAAATTTATATGCAAATTTATGCACGTAAATATCTTTTCAGAATGGCCGTTGACCTCTTAGGCTCTTACTTTTATGTGACTATTAAAATCGTAATTTTTTAAACTATTATAATCTCGTTTTTGAGAAATGTCTGTGGTAAGATTTATGTGCAATTAGTCAAAGAAGCATCTGCGAGCCTTATCTGTCACTAAGTTATACGTGAAAAGTTACATATTCAACTTCTTTTTTCTCTCTTATTTCATCGTTAGATGAACAACCTCCAATGACTTTGATCTTGACGAATGTTGTCCAGGACATGATCCTGAACAACATTCAAGAGATTTTAGCCATCAATCGGACACCTTGCGTAATGTTAATACCGGCGGTACTGTAACTTTCAAGCCTTATAACTCGAAAAGTACTTAATGAAAAATAACTTTATTATAGTGTTTTAGAAAGCTCTTGACACCAGCTATTAAATTCTAGCATAAAAAATAGGGTGTTCCATTTAAAAAAATTAATTTGACTTGACCTTGGTGGCACCACCCAAAGTCAAGCGGATGTGATCAGTGAATAGATCCTTTTAAACCCTACAACTTTTGTCTGAAACATTTTTTTCAAAAATGCATATTTTCTGAAATATTCGGCCGGTCCGAGACTTTTGGCGGACCCTGTATATGATATACCGCTAATGTAAAATTAAATAAAATAAATTACAAAATTTTTTTATATTATTGAATTAATTTTATGATTGCAGCGATTACCGTATACCTACAGAGGGCTTGTAGTTCCCGTATTTACTCCTTTCAATAGTGACGGGTAATTAACTTATGTTCCTATAAATTTTAATAATCTAATATTAAACTAATTATAATGCCTAACATTTATTTAATAGAACTCTCAATTTGGATATTATACCGCAATATGCAATATACTTGGCAAAGAAAGGGGTCAAAGGTTTACTTGGTAAGTTATTTAGTCTTGTTATTAAAGACTTGGTAGTCTTTAAAATCAATTTTAATTATTAAAATATACAAGGTGCTTCTCTTCTATATCTTGGCGATGATCGGTTGCCATACTTTTTAAGATATTTCTTATAAATTGACAATGAAATGTGTTTAACAAAAGTTTATTGGACTCTAATAAAGAATTAATTACATAAAAAATTTCAAATTTGTTTTTTTTTTATTTATAGAAAGTCAAAGCCAAATTGGATATTTTTTTTAATGAAACGTATATTTTTCCTTATATCTTTCTTTCTCTATCTTGCAGTATATAAAAAGACAAAATTGTTAATATAGCGTTATGTATCATTTTGATTATTTGATTTCAAAATAATTCAATTAATACTTACAACATAATCCACGAATCTGACATCGACATTTAAAGCGAGATCGAAACGTAAAATTGCAGTTGTTGTATTATAGTTGAATCTACGCACAGCAATTTATTGAAAAGTTTTGTGTTGCAAAAAATATTATGTAATTTAAACATTTACTTTAATAAAAATACTATATATAATATTATATCACACACAATGGATTCGCCTTTTTATTACATGTATTAAAAGAATAATGGAAAGAAAAATATATGGCTCCATTTAAAAAGAAAGTATAATTTGACTTCGAAACTTTTATTTAAAAATGGACAAATTTTTGAAAATTTTTTTACGCAATTAATTATTAGAAATCAACCAACTTATGTTAGAAACATTTTATTGTTATTTCATTGAAAGTATCTAAATGACCATGACAGGCTAATATAATATTTAACAATATTACTAGTATTATATTAAATTTCTGTTACAAGAGTTTTGCATAAGAGATCATTCCAAAAGAAAAAAATATATAATACGTAGGTGGTTCAAGTCAACTGGGACTTTTTTATTCTTATATTCATGATAATAAAAGTCCCGGTTTGACTTGAACCCCCCACGTATATAATAATTATTCTAAATTGAAATAGTAATTTTTTGCATTTCTACCATATATTTTTTTTATAGTTAATGGCACAAGTGGCGAAGGAATGTCAATGTCTATTACCGAAAGGAAACTTGTTACCGAAGCTTGGGTAAGAGCAGTGAAAGAAACAAAGCAACACCTAATGATTCAAGTAGGAGGCGCACCTCTTCCCGATATTATCGAACTTGTAAGTATAATTACTGACATACAAATACAGCGAAGAATATTATTTATCCCACTTTCGATTAATAGTAAAACAAAAATAATTTGTAGGCGAAACACGCAAGTAATCTGCGCGTGGATTCTATACTCTGCTTACCAGAGTTGTACTTCAAACCTACCACTCCTAAAGGACTGATTGAATACTTGGAAATAGTTGGCAAGGCAGCGCCAAAGACACCGTTATTATACTATCATATTCCTATGTTGACTAATGTTAACAGTAAGCGGTCATATTTCAATATACGCATACTGGATATAATCAACTGACATAAATATCATGTATAAACATTTTGTAGTACACATGGGACAATTCCTTGAATCTATTGGTGACAAAATACCGTCATTCGTGGGTATAAAATTCACCAGCACCAATTTAGAGGAAGGTGCACATGCGTTACATGCCGATAATGGGAAATTTGTTATTTTCCTCGGTAATGATCAGGTAATAAAAAAAAGTTGCACCTAATTAAATGAACTATCGCTTCTTGAACAAAAAATAAGCCAAACAGTTTATAGTAACTAGCCAGTTACAGTGAGTGCAAAAAGTATTCGTACAAGAAAAAATTTTTATAAAAAAAGTTTCATTTGTAGAAAATAAACATTAATTAGCAATTTTATACAATAAATACGTTTTGTTCCGATAAATATAAACAAACGAGCTTTGAATGTGTTCCTGATTTTAGAAGCTAAATTTCTTGACTATACAAATACTTTTTGTTCAAATAATACCATTTTTAATTTTCGCTTATTTTTAAGATATGTTTTATTTAATTATTACACATCTTTTTGACACAATAATTTGAAAAATATACAGTCTATTTTGTTCTTTATGAATAAATTGCTAATTATCCAGTAATAAATGACCATTAATTAGACATTGAATTTGTGTCGAAATCATCGCATCAATATCTATTCGATCATATATCAACTTGACGAGTTATTTTTTGCTGGATATAATGTTTATTTTTTTAGAAACAAAATTAAAGAAAAATTTTCCCTATACGAATACTTTTTACACTCACTGTAAATGCTAAACCCGATGTTGTAGTTATTAACTATATTGTCTTATTTTCTATCCAGTTTGTACGTTCTCCAGTATAATAAAAATGTATATTTGATTTCTTCTGATTCTATAGTTAATGAACGCTGCGTCTGTATTGGGATTTGATTCCTTCATAGTAACCACCCTAAACATGTTTCCGGAATATATACAGCAGCTTCTTGCTGTTTGCAAGAAAGGAGATATATTAAAAGCCAAAAGTATGCAAGAGAAACTCACAAGCACTGTGATTGCTATAATGAAACATGGTAAGTGTATTTTTTTCATCTGATGAAGCGCAGATCAATTGTTACAAAAAATCAACTATTTGTAGGTAATTGGGTGCAGTCTATGAAAGTAGCAATGGTTCTTCTTACTGACATTAATACAGGTCTACCTCGTGAACCACTTAAATCGATTTCTTCTGAAGCTGTAGCAATTATGACGAAGGAATTAACAAACTTGGGATATCAGCCAAAAGTTAAACATTATTGAGAATATCTTAATTCTTTCATTTTTTCATCACGTTTGTGTGCCTTATGTGACACCATATTATAATACCTCACAATTCAGATTTTCCAATGAATTATTACTAATTATGAGCATAAGTGTTATAACAGTGTCTTTAAAAAATGTATATAGCAATTAAGAAGATTAACTAATATAATGTTCAAAATGAATGAAAGTTGTGATTGTTATATATTACATTATATCTTATATATTAATTGTATGTAAAATAAAAATAATTATATAATTTATGCAGTATAAGTTTTTGTAAGTACATACGCTCCAGGCTAAAAGTTTCAAAACATTTTTTTTAAATTAAAATTTTGAGAATATTTTACTTAAATATTTATTCATGTGTCTTTTAACAATAATTCTTCAGATCTAATAATATTGTTTTATACTTCGATTCTCGAAGCCATCTAATGTAAAATTTGTTTATGACTAAAAATATGACTTTGCTCCACGGTAGCTAAGCATCAGCGGACAGCGATGACACGTAGCATTATTATTGTCTTTGTATCCGACACGTCAATCACTCTCGCGAATCGAGACGTCTTTTAATGTACATAACTGGCACAATAATTACGTTATTCATATTTTTAATTATTTGACGAAGAATGTTGCTTATTATTTATTAAAATTACGTAATATACATTGGGTTGACTACTGGATGTGAGTGTATTAATCTGTTTGCAATTTGGTGAGTGATTATCCGTACTCGTATTCTTATAGATATAAAATTATCATCGACCGTCATTGCTTAAATCTTAATGTTATATTACAACCTACCTCGTGAAAATTCTTTGTTTTATCTGTTTATCTAACCACGATGGAACAAAAAAGAATCATTGCAGTAAGGCGGATGGTCGACACCAAGATTGCACAGATTGCATGAGAGCGTAACATTCATTTGATTTAATTCGTTGAAAATGTGAATGTAAGTCGAAACGCGTACGAAATACATGATACATATTATTATAGGTTATTATGGCTACGTCTACACCGTGCATTTAGGCCGCGACCTATGCAATAGATGTCCTTGTTTAGTCTGTATATTGAACAAAGACACCTATCGTATAGGTCGCGGACTAAGCGCACGGTGTAAACGTAGCCTATAGCTTAAGGCTTAAAACTCTATTGTAGATCCGGGATTAAGCTTTAAGCCATAAGAAATGGGCGAATCACAGTCGATTATTTCCCTCGGATTCGACTATAATTGGTCAGTTTCTTACGGCTTAAGTCTTAAAACACCTATTGTAGATCCGGACTAAAACATTGTAGATCCGGGGTTACGGAATTTTGTGTGCGGTAGCCCTAATGCTGGATTCACACTGCATCCGATTTTATTTTTGAATGAATCTCGTTCGAACTGGTTCGTATAACCCCGTGCACTTTCCAACCTAAAAAATGGAAGCCTCGAGTGTGGAGTGTGGCGATTTTTTAGAATTTCAGGTATTTTTGAAAGCAGGGCTTATATAACACTCGTGTATTCGCACACCGCATTATACGAGTATATCAAACATACATACATTTAACAATGCTTAAGTTATTTAAAGTAAAATATTAAAATTCTTTATAATTGATGCCGGCTAGTAGCTATTATCTTACATATTTATATATATGATACAAAAGAAGTATGTTACACTACAAAAAAAAGATTACTTAAAAATTAATAATGCGTAGAATCTCGATGTTATTAAAGTTACGTCTTTTTCTAGACGTGTTTGTATTTGAGCAGCTTTAGTGAGAGGTTAGGAACGTGTGTGTACGTGAGGTCAGCTAACAATAAGTGTAATGAAAATATATATATATATACGTATAAGTTCAAATATATAACATATCGTTCACATTTCTACATATATCTTCATATCTTATTTTTTTTAAATATCAGTACATAATTTTATTCAGATTATATGTATAAATATATAAGTAGTAAAAATATCTACAATGTGTATTTCAGGATACGTTAAGAAAGATGCGACAAATAGATGATAAAATAATTTACATGCTGAACACTAAAATTCCTACCGAGTCCTTCAAAGGCCAGGTGGATCCTACCACGCAATGTAAAGACTTGTTTCAGCAAATAGAATCAGAGCACAAGCAGAGGACACAAGCGATTACAAGATGCGTGAACATTACTAAGCAAAGAGTGATGCAGTTAAAAGATTTGAGAGAGAAGAATGGTGACGAAAATCCAACGTTAATAAAAAATTTGAGAAACGAGCAAACCAAATTGAGGCTGTTACAGTCTGAACTTAACATAGAGGAAGTTGTAAAGAAACGTACAATACAAGTGTATTACGAGAGGTGCCGTGGATTCTACAAACCTTTACACATAGATGCATAGAATTTCCGAATAATCTGAAGATATTGGTACATGGTTATTTGAATGCCTATCATTGAATTGTTAAAATATAGTTATACATATATATAGTAATTTTGTAAACGTCGCTGACAGGTTTGTCTCTTGAATCATTGTTATTTTGTGATGATGTACAATAATATACTGATTTTCTTACAAGAATTTATTGTAACTATTCATTATATACAAGGATAATTTAAAGTACACAGATTATAGAGATTAAATATTATAGCAATCAGAATGCTTACTAAATTTAATGAGAATCAGACATTTCATTACATATAATATACATATATCGATGATCTAATGTAAATAAAATACATAATTTTACAATGTGGATATATTTGTATATACATAGAATATATTTTACTGCTTTGTTACTACGAAAGGTTTGAAAGAACAGCCTTATGTATTACAAATACAAATCGTTGAAACGATCAAAACTAAATATTTATTATTATATAATATCTTTACTATTGTTAAAAAATATTATGTGGAAATCTCATTTTAAAATAATCAATCGAGATTTATAATATCCATCTGTACCTCTCAGAAAATTTGTCCTAAAGATTTCTACATTTTCCTAATATTTACATATCTATTTCTTTTTATCTTCTTCGTTTACTTGCTTGAGCCACTCTTCTCTTTGTTTAATCAAACTTACTCCTCTTTTAGCGTCTCGTTTTCCAAGTAATACAGCGCCTATGCAACCAATTATGGTAAAAACTATCATATAATTACATGTCTTGATTCGTGCTTTACTTCTTGCACTAAGTATACAGTCCACTCTGTGTAAGAAAACATTTATTTATTAAATGATATAAAATAAGTTAATCACAAAAAAGTTTATTACATGTGAAAAATGTTATAAATATATTTCTTAAATCCAGAATTTATTTCAAAAATAATATTATGAGTCATATTTCTTACAATTTTGTGATTGTCATTGTTAAAGTTTTCTACTGAAGACAAGTCAATTTCAAATATATCGAAATTTATGTTTTTATTTAAATATTTTTATTAAATTTCTATTTTTTTGTTAAATGATTTCATATGGTATAAATATAGATGCAACACATACGTAACATCCTTAGGAACATCTGCAATGCTCGGATATCGTTTTACCCAAACAAGTATTCTCTTGTCAAAATTAGTTACACGGTGCATGCGTGAACCTATAAAATGTGTACATACACAAGAAATTACATTTGTGTTTTTGAAATTTTTTATTTTGTATATAGCACACCTTTTTCAGAATTAAATCGCAAATTAAGTAAAAATTTACAAATTACTAATAGTAAACTTTTAAGTAATAGTTCTCGAAAATAAATTTAATTACAAACAAGATTAATCGATTCTATTATTAAGCATTAATTTATATGTAGAAAGTATTTATCTTATTCTTACCTATAACTTCTTTTGTAATTTCATTGCTTTTTTGTGCAGGAATTTTATCTACTTTATTAATTTCTCTTAAAATACTGCTACGAGTAAAATATCGTATTGCACGCAACTGAATGCTACGAACAAACTGTCCTGACAGCATTCTATGAACAAAAATAATTGGTATATTAATAGAATAAAATTATGAGGTATATTCTTTCTTAGTTTTTATATAAAATTATTTCACAGAGAGTATATTTTCGAGATAATCTTTCGAAATTTAAAGCGTTATCTTTATGTTATCTTTATAAAAATTTCTATACCAAATTACAGAAAAATTTTACATATGGAAAAGTAAAAAAATTTATGCAAAAAATATTCAAGAATTTACACAAAAGAAAGAATATATTAATGTCAGAGAATATTAACTTATCTCAGATAATTTTATCTTAATAAAAAATTTTATTTTCAAAAAGCAATTATAAAATAACAAACACTTAATTTTAATCATTAAACTGCTTTATAAAACAATACCGAAAAGAAATCTTTTTAATTCTTTTAAAAGAGTTTATTTCAAAAACATTAAAAAAAATAAAATTTTCTTTTTTTAATTCTATCCAGATTTTAAAAAAATTAATGCCAATAATATATTTAAAAAGTGCAGCATTAATAATATTCCTTTACAATTTTATTGAAAAATTATCTCAAAAGTCGACACTTTGGTGCTTAAAATTGTTGCTAAAATACCATTAGTAATCCACACAGCACGGGGAGCTCTCCAGGAGCTCCACGGGAACTCAAAATTTTTGTGAGCTTCATTTAAGCTTCAAAAAAAACCACCGGGAACTTTTATGTCCGCTTTTGAGAGTTCCTTAGGAGCTTCATTTTGGTTCGCAGGGAGTTTTTTTTTTAAGCTCCCCGAGAATTCAGCAAAATAAATTCCTTAACTGAGAGCTTATTTAATCGAATTTTGTAAGCTCTGTGGAAGCTCAGCAGTATAAACTCCCTGGAAGTTCGTTTTGTCGAATTTTATAAGCTCCCCGAGAACTCAGCAAAATGAATTTCCTGGGAACTTAATCGGAGCTTTGTGCTGTGTGGGAAATAGTTGGGAGTCCCTTGTCTTTGGAACTATGCATCTCTAATTTAATTAAATGTACATAAAATACAACCGAATATATTCATAAAGTCACATATGTATACATAATAAATTCAAATAAAAGAGGCGATTGTATAAAAATTAAGTTCACTGATTAGACAATTATTAAATCTTTTGCATGATAATAAAAATTCATAATCTGACGTAATATAAAATCTGATTATACAGATTAAAAAGCAAGTGCTTTGCGAAAAAACCACTTAATAAAAATTGGAATTAATGTACATATTACATCTCATGACAATGCGGAAATCAATGCTAAGATATGATATCTATACAGTCTCTGCAAAATATAGTAGTCTATATCTATACAGTCATTGTAATTATTGTAATAATAACAGAGTATTTTATAATTATCGAGACAATAATACACGATTATTTCAATTGTTACAACAGAAAATATGATATCTTTCAAAATAAGTAAAAATGATTAACATATGATTCGCAATATAATTACACAATACTCTATACCCTCTGTACATTATGATAACAAATTTTGTTTTTATAGTTATACTCCTGTTTTTATTTCCTTTGTTTTTCTTCTGAATTTTTAATCAGATATCTCACTCAATCTCACTTTAATGCAGAGAATGTAAGCAATAAGCAAAATGTTAACAGTATGCCAGAATTTTACAGCTAATTGATTAAAACTACATTTGCATTAAACTCTGTTGGTCTGCCAACGTATAGTCTGTTAATTTAATCTAATATCTTGTATCAACAGAAAAAGATCGAGCAGAATCTATATTATTTTAAAATAAAATTAATATTATTTTTAAATAAAATAAATACATCATCACTCTGTCATCACTTTTTGTGTATTCTTAGCAGAATGTATTGTTCGCTGGCATTCTGCTGATAAAAATTTAAATAATTTGCAAAATCTGAGTTTTTTTTACACACACACAAATTTAACTATTTGTGATGGTGCAGGATAAAGAAGCAATTTAATGTAAGATTTAATTTAATAATTATCATTGAGTTCTCTCTATATTTTTAGGTTACGTTGTGTCTATTAACAAAAAAAATTTAATTCCTGCAAAGTTACGGCATACTGCGTCTGAATAATCAGCAAAAAATATTACGTTTTATGTTTTCTCTTTTATAATACATTTAGTATCATTTATTTATTTAGGAATCAATCGCAAATCAAAGCCTTGCCGTTCGAGAGCCATTCGTCACATTATCATACAAAGTTTCTTTAATACGTATGATATATCATAAAGTTCTGTGTTGAGTGACACGCACTTTTTTTTTTAAATAATTACTGCGTACTCAAAAATAGTTTGTAGTACAAACAAGAACCATTCCACTGCTCTTCACGCACTAACTTATGTATTTGTATCTGGTTTGGTTTGGTCTGGTTAGACCTTGACACTGACACTCGAGCACACAGACGAGATATTATTAAAGACCGACATTCTTACGGAAATTAGCGTTCCTGTTAAAATTCAATTAAGAGTAGGAAACTAATAATATAGTATTTTTTATGATTTATTAGATTTGTAGCATATATGTATTTAATTATTTAATGCCTAATTTATGTTTCGGTCTCTAAAATCTTAAAATTCAGTCAATGAAATACAGATTCCGGTTAGGACTGCAGCCTTATTGGTTGAATTTTAGGATTTTAGGGTTGATCCAAAGCATAAACTTTTATTAAAATAAATATTTGGCTAATACATTATTAAATTCATAATCTTTTATTATGTAAATGCTCCATAAATATGTATGCACTTGTAACGCTATAATATCTTTATATACTGCCAAAAAATTACTATTTTTTTTATAGCTATAGTTATCATCTCTATTGATAATCAAATTCGGACGATAACATTAAAATCGCAGTTTTAAATAAAAATTCAAGTACTTCAGTTATATGTCTATTAGCAAATTTATATCAGTTGTCAATAACGTCAATGTTCTTCAATTACTTCTGAGCCCTCGAAGCCCATTTTATGAGAACAAAAATTGCCCAGGATAGATGACCTACAAATTCAAATAGGGTATAATTATTTAAAATATATCTTTATTACTATATTTATTTTTCTTTAAGTAACTTTCCTGTGATAATAAAAACAGAAGATTATATAATCTATTTTTCTTTACAACTTAAAAATTAATTCTGTTGAATATATATATCTTAAACACTAATTTCATATTTCTATGTCATACAATGAAGATATTTTTCTTTATAACTTAAAAAATAATTTTATTATATATATATACACGCACACGCACGCACACACACACGCACACACACATATGATACACACACACATACACACACACACACACACAAGTATATCTTAAACGGAATACTATATTTTCGTATTTTTATTATACAATGAAGATTATATCTGCGCGATCAGTATAGAATATAGATTATATTGATTTAAAAATGGAAAAATCAATATAAAATAATAGAAATCTATCATCATGAGAAACGATAATAAATAAAAAAGAGAAATCTCTTGTCCGCGTTTTGCAAGTGTTCGAATATGTGTGTTATGCAATTATTTCTCCTTGCAATTATATTGTCTTTAGTTTGTTATACACTATGTTATATCACATTATGCGTTCAGTTCTTGTTAAATTAATTTGATAATACATATATTTGTTTCACGTAATTTCTTCTTTTCTTTCACTAATGTTTTTACTCATTTTTGTACCATGAATATTTTGTTTCTATGTAAAAAAAAAATCTTTTCAAACCAAATTAAAATACGTTTCTGCAAATTGGACAGGTAGATTTTTGACTTGTACTGAACCACTTGTACTGAAATAAAAAAATATATATGTAATATACAGAAAGATAATACGAATATTTTATATAGGTATATATATTAAAAATAATAAATGTTAATAAATAATGTATACTCACCAAACAGCGAGTATGAAACTTCTTACGACAAGTATGACATGACAATTTTGGTACTTGATATGTACTGACATGAAAAATGCTAAAGCATATATAACACTCTTCGACACCGGCAAATTTCTTATCCAAATTACGTTTCCACATTAAAAGACCGTCCCAAACAGAACCATTCTATAAAAAAAAATATATATATATATTTGGAACATATATTTCTTAACATATACATATAAACATATTGCAACTTACTTGATGTGTGAGAAGTTTAGACAGTTGCATATGACAATTTTTCCATTTTGCCATACCATCTACCTGTTGACCAGATTCTACTTTTACTCTACCTAAAGGATAGTTTGATGGTAGCACTATGCTTAATTCTAATTGTGTATCTTCCATTTGATACACAGCTACTACTTCCCTTGCTGTTGAGTGTACTTTTACCTATAACAACACAAAGCACATGATATTAAACTTGACAATAAACAGAAATCTTTAAATACAATCTATAGAAAAATAATGCTTTAAATAAATCTTTAAAATTTGTATATGGATGAAGCAGAGTTTCTGAGAGAAAAAACGTACCTGCATATTTTCAACATTAGCCAATTGTAATCTGCTATAAAGAAGCTCATCTTCACATAACATAGGACTAACATAATGACTTGTAATCTTGTCTACTGTTGCACTGACTCTACTATCAACTGTACTTAGCCATTGTCTAACTAATACTGGTAGAAGCCGCAAACAGTTTGTATATAACCAACACACAATATGATCTAATTTCTCTTCCGTCCAACTTTCTATAATATTCATATATTGCGATATAATAAAACATTGTATAATAAATCAAATTTTATGTAAATGTAATATTAATTTCAATAGTACCTTTGAAACGAAAAACTGGAACAGTGGTAAATAGTTCTAACAGTTTTAAAGTTTTATTTTTATTATCTTGTAGCACTTCCATGGGTATTAACTTGAAGATATTATCCAATAGATAAGGAAAAAGTTTAATTCTAAAATTTACAGTAAATTATAATTAGTAAAAAATATAATAAACAAATTTAAATTGTTATAAGTAATAGGATATATTATAGAGATTACAGAAATAGATAATGTGCATTATAATACTTATAATACTTACTTCAATATTTCAGCATATTGATATCGTAAATCACTATGAGACTTTTCGCAGATATCTAATATAATTCCCCATGTTAATAGATATCCTAATATATATGTGTAAGAATCTGTAAATGGTTGGATTGTGCAGGTAACTGTATCACATAATCTAAAAAAAGACGATATTACAATAAATGATTAAAAAAATATGATGCATTTAATTAAAATTTAATATAAAGCAGAGACTTACTTGAACTCCATAAGCATTGTATTTACAATAGTCTGTATATTTGATAGTACTTCTTCGAATCTTTTAATATTGAGATTGCTGGACTCGAAGTTGTCAGATTCGACAAGAACTTTATCATGTTTTACAAGTTCCGGTACCATATATTTCAATACATAATAAGCACCCAATTGAATGTTAGGAACAGGAGATTGTAGTAATTTCAGAGATAGCGTTAATATGTTGTTGAAATCAATCGTTCCGATTACTTCATCATAATTCTTGAGCAATATGCTACTGTCAAATGAACAAATTGCTTCTCCCAAGTAATTCAATGGTACAATAGATTTTATAATATTCGTATTTTGATTGCATAAATCTGCATAAAATATCCAAGTTTGGACAATGCCATTATATACAGTGCCAGCAATTTGATCTTTCCATTCATCCAAGATTGTTGAAGGTAATTCTGGTATTGGCTTCAATTTATGTTTGCTCATTAGAGTTTCAACTGCATAATACAATTGACTAAATGCTATTATCAACATTTCTATTTTAATGTCACTATGATTATGTTTGGCGTTGTTATATAATGGTTGCCACTTTATGAGATATACCCAGATAACATTCCAATATTCTTGTTTTAACTTCTGCGGAACATGTCGGACAACTGTTTCAAATAATCTTATAACTTCTAGGTCTTTCTGCCGAAACAATTTATCCAATGGAATATTAGAAATATTATGATACAAAACTAGAGAAACGTCATCAAAATATAACTTAATTATACGATTCGTAATAAAATCATATAGTGAAGAAGGTTGATCTTTGGGAGTGTCAGATATCACAGTTCTTGTAGCAATTACTGAATATATATTTTCGTGTGCTAATATTTGCGAAACATTTTGTTGCCAATTTAAGATTTGTAATATTTGAATATGCATTTCATCATCATATTCTCCTGCAATTTCATTACTGTTGTAATTTTCAAAATATTTCGTAGTATTCTCAAGTTTATCTTTCGAGAAAAATTCATTATAATATGTATAAATTATGTATGGTAGCATACATCCATAACTTTTCTGATTTGTTTGTATACATGATAATACATTATCATGGATATTCTTTTCAAAATATTTATGCAAATTAACAAAACTCTTTTTTAGCAAATTACGAAGTTTTTCAACATCATTATAATATTTAGTGGATTTATAATGCTTACTGTATATGTCTACTATGCTAACTACATATATGATATCTATTAGTATTTCCGTGATTCCTGGTAAATTTAAATCGTTTAATTCAAAATTTTCTTCTTCTGAAACCGTACTAGCATTTTCTGAATCAATGCCTTTTAGTCTCTTGTACAGATTATTAAGCAAATCTGTGATAAATAAAGCCCAGGATAAGCAATTTATTGTATTGTCTGAAATGATATCGTTTGTTATATTGATAGATGTAGGTTGCTGTAAAATCTGTATTTTTTTCTTAACACTTGATATATATAAATGGCCTGTTAACATTTCACCATATATTGCAATAACGGTTGTTTCTTCAATCCATAATTTTATGTCAGATGCCGTTAGGAATGACAGAATAGTTTCTTTAACGCAATCAAATTTTGTAATGTCAATATTATTAATTATAACTTCTAAAACATCTGTTGCCAAATTAACTAATGTATTCTTAATAGGATTTGGGTATGTATTATATACTTTACTCCATATAATAATTCCGTATCTTTTAATAAGATCATTAAATTCAAAAATAGACAATATTTGACTAATTTCTATGAATCCTTCTTTCCAACAATTATGTATAGTATCAGCAGTTAAATCATCATGTTCTCGAGTGCATAATTCAAAAAGTGTTTCCAATATTTGTACAGCACTTGATATTGTTCGAATATGTTTCCACATTAAAGTCATCAATTTCGTAATAAATGCGACAAATTGCATGGAGCAAGTATCATCTCTTCCATTTAATGAATCACACAGAATTGATACAATTTCACTTGTTCCTTCATTATTTATTAATAAATCTCTAATTTCGGGAATTTCAAAAGCTGATAAAATCAAATTTTGATTTTTTTCAAAATCATACTGTTCATCACTACATGAAGCAATTTCTTTGGTCATATCAACTAATAGTTTAGGTATATTAGCTTGCGTATACCATTTTTTAATTATGCTATCATTTCTGTTATGTTCAGATAAACAGCAATA